TATATATATATATATATATATATATATATATATATATATGATTGTGAGTTAATTTCGAAAATAAAATTAATTTATTATCATGAATTTCGAAAATTAAGTCCCTTAATTTCATTAATTTAGGAACAAATATGAGAATTCAAATCATAAAATTGATTTAGTACTCAATTATAATATTATGCATTAATTAATTTGTGTCCTTCATTATGTTCTTCAAATCACCTTTAAAATGGTCATTCAACTAGTTCATCTTGCCCACGCAAGAACTCTTTATTTTTTTTTTGACACTCATTGTAATTTAATGCAATTATAAATTATTTATTTTTTATTTCGTTTTGACTTATTTTTTCGTACACTTTTGTCTTAATTAGTTTTATTACTTATTTATTAATGTCTTATTCTTTCATTGTTTTTTTTCAGATATGGAAAAGTGTTGTGTTATATCATCACATGCCTTCAATGGTTGATACATCATTTCCATTTTTTTAATATATTTTAAAATTTCCGATTTTTTTCTTTTTTTAATTTGATTTCTTTCGTCAATTGTATTTGTAGCATTTGAATAATTTTTTCTTTGAAACTTCTGGATTGACAGAACTGTGTACAATCAACATTCATTACAAGAGTAGTTCTCCTGTTAAAGTTGTTATGCGTTTGTGAATAAATTATGAAAAACTAAGGTTTGAATTGACATGATGTTAGAGTGATTTTGTAAATCAAACAACATGGTGTGCGGCAACAAGTATTATTCTTGGTTTAACGAATGGGATAATGTAATTGAGGTCAATCGTTTGAAGCCATTAAATTCAATTACATGAATAGAGTAATTACAAAAATATTATTATTTTTGTTAATATTTTACACGAATAAATTCATCGTTTTCTTTTTATTATTCTTCATTTCATGTTGTGCACATATTTAGTATGATATTATTTCATTTTATGTATATGTGCACAAAAAATATATACACATATATTAACTATTTTATTTAATGATATTATATGTATAAACTATAGTTATATTTGAAATAAATTAGTTACTAAGAATTAGTGAATAACATCTTACATGATTATAATGATATGCATTGACTGGGCTACGATTTCCCAAATCAATTAATTATAGTAAAAAAATATTACTAATACATCAATTGTCCAATTTATATACCATTATGGGACCCATTTATTTTCAATATTTCACAATTAATATAGAATATGAAAGATATCATAATTTGGTTCCATTGTTCTTAATTAGAATTCGGTTTACTAATATCTATCAAATTGTTGGAGTTAGTTAAGGTAATATGAAACGCTATTCTTCTTAATTTATTTTCTTATTTGATATCTTGTGATATTTTGTAACTGCATTTTCATTTTGGTAATGTAGGAGAAGTTTTGTGATGCACAAAACTTTGAAAAGCACACTATGATGAATTTAGCTAAAAGTTGGAGTATATCGTATCAGACCCCTATTGAATTCATCGAGTTGGCGGTTCTTCTTCGACCGGCATTGTTATTGTTCTTAATGGTCTTGCTTTGTTTTTTCCGTTTTGATCAATGATTGTTCTTGTTTTTTTTTATATCGATGATTGTTCTTGCTTTGATTTCAATGTGTGGAGGTTTTTCTATGGATATGACTTTTGATTTTCAATGTATTCATTTTTGGAGATTTTACATATTACTTGATGTACTTTTCTATTTTTTCTCCATTTCAATTCTCTGTTTGATATATTTCAAACTTTAGTAAAAACAAGGGTGAGCATTTGGAGCGGATCCCCTATTAATAAGAAAAAAACGGACTCCACTAAAAATCTAACACGTGTACATGTTTAATAAAGAAATAAGAAGTGGAATATTATGCTCCAGTTACATATTAGAATCCATTTCAAAATACATATTACTCTATTATATATATATATTTTTTTATCTATTTTTATGTATCTTTTTAATTTTTTAGCAACCCTTGTTTGTTCATTAAAAAACACTTTGTAATTTCTTTGTAATTTCGATGTAGATGTAACTTTTTATTTCCTATATATAATATTAATTAAAACAAACAATAAAATTAGTATATTAAATCTTATAAATTAATACAATTGAGACTGACAAAATTAGATTTTTTAATTAATATATTACAACATATGATAATAAAAAATAACATTTAAAAATAAATTACAAAGTGTTATAATGTGCTTATAATTTATCAAAACAAAAACGTACATATAAGTTTTATTTAAATAAAATGGAAAAAAAAAAAGGGACACGAATTAAAAAAAAAAAAAAAGAATAAAAAAATTTAATTGCCAATATAAACTCGTTACTGTTAACTAGGGTATTTTGAAATAGAAGCATATTCATTGTTGTAAACTAGAGCAGTTAAAATGGGTTGCAATTTAATAAAAGTATGTACACGTGTTTCTTTATTAGTGGCGTCCTATTTTCTCACATTAGCGGAGCGTCCGTTTTCAATTTAATCTCTAAAAACAAATAACAAGTAAAATATTAAAAATTCAAATCATGATTCATAAAACTGCGCTGTGTTGTTGTATATAAAAACATCAATTAAGCCCAATCAATTAATCATGATTGGGCCATTTTCCCGAGGAGTGGGCCCACCATTTTTCCTTTTGTCCAAGATTCAAACGAGGAATTGCCAAATATATTTGAAAAGAAAATGTGTTTTACTCAAAAAGAAAATAACAATATGACCTTTGATTTTCAATGTGTTAACTTTTGAAGATTTCAAATGTTATTTGATGTCCTTTTTTCTCCATTTTATTTGTCTCTTTGGTAGATCTCAAAAATTAGTGACAAAAAATAACAATTTTATTTCCTAAAATATTAAAAATTTATATCATGAGTCGTAAAACTCGAAAAAATAACTATCCATTATAGTATCTAAAAGTGAACTATACATTATATTTGAGCTAATTGCAAATACCACCCCTGTATTATTTCTAATTGTCAAATACCCCCCCTGTGAAAAAAAAATTCACCAACACCCCCTTGTGTTATCAAAGTCAGAGCATCGAGACCCCTAGAGGCAAATCGTGTCACTCACTCGCGGATTGTGCGACTTTTAATAGTATTTTAAGGGTGAAATGTCATAAATACCCCTTTATAAAATAAAAAATAACCTTGCTGGTTAAATTATGAATAACCTAAATTTATAGGACCAAATTGTAATTTTCAGAATTTAAAATAATAATGTGACAAATATTATATGTCATTAAAAAAAATAAAAAATAAAAAATTCATCGTCTTCTTCCCGATCCCCATCCCCACCCCCAAACCCAAGTTCAACACCATCACCTCCTCTTCTGCAATCCATATCAGACCCGATCCGCACAACTCGAGGCTAACCCAACTCCAATTACAGCAACAACCTATCTACAACATCTCCAAACGATTTCTCTCGACGGCGACGAGTTTGACGGCCGAACCTGCTAGGTCCAAAAATTGCATCTTTTTGTTCTTTTCTCTTCTCTTGCTCGCCTTATCGCCGCCACCGCCGTCAAAATACGAGATTGTGGTAAGGTTTGAGGCACGGGTAAAATTTATTGGTGGAAACTAAAATTTCAAAGATGTTGTGGGCGGCGGATTTGGAGAAGATGGTGGTGGTGGTGGAGGGATGAGTTGGTGGTGAGTGGCGGAGAAGAAGCGGCGGCCGGATGGACATGAGTGATGTTGCCTGTGAGTTGGGTTTGGATGCCAGGGGTTTTGGAGAAGATGCTATTTTTTTTTTCTTTTCTTTTCTTTTCTTTATTTAATAGAATGTAAAAATATATAAAAACTTTTAATGTCACAATATATATTTTATTTTGTTTTAAATATTTTTTTTATTTTTAATATTTACAAAATAAATAAATATATAATATTTATAAAATTATTATATGTTTTATTAATTGCTGAAAAACCCAGGGCATTTTTGTAACTTTACCTTCAGTCAAAGCCTAAAATCACGAAACGTGCAGTGTGCTTCGAGAATGATAACACAAGGGGGTGTTGGTAAGTTTTTTTTCCACGGGGGGTATTTGACAATTAGAAATAACACAGGGGTGGTATAAAAATGAACCCATTTCTTTCTCTAATTTTCTCCTTTTTTCATATTGAGCCCACAACTTTCGGTATCTTCCAAGAAAGGGGGGAATTGAAAAATATTATTACAATTTTAAACAACCTAGTTCTTTGGAAGAATTGTTTTATATTATATTTTTCAAGAAAAAAGCCTCCTCTTTTCATCGTGTTCAAGCTGGGAGGCTTTCTTCTTGAAATTCACAATTAATTTTTGTTGGGTTCTTCAGATTTGGTCGTTTTGTGATCTGGGCAACATTTATTTTTCAAGATTCGGTTTCAAGATTGAATTTTTATTACCACATACATACGGGCGAATCTGATTATTGAATCTGTGTGCCCTATTTTCTTGAACAATAGATTTTGCCCTTTTTGATTTGAAATTTGAATCCTCCTGAGAATCAATGGCTGTTGTTTTCTAATAGGGAAGGCGGTTGGATTGTAGTCCAAATCTAGACCTATATTTGATGAATCTTGATTTTACAGAAGAGGATTGGCTTGTGAACATAGAGTTTGTTCTCAGGCCATTTGTTCCGCCTATTGAGCAGATATTTTTCCCAATAGATAGATGGGATAAGCAGTTCTACCAATTACAGGCTGGATAATTTAGTTTCTTTTGCATTTTCGAAATTAGGGTTTTGTTTTTTGGGCAGTTAATTTGGAGAATTGAAGGATTAGAGAACATGGGTTCTTCATCAAATGTGGCAGGGTTTGCAGATGGATCTTCTGCTCATACAGAATTCAAATATATTGACAGAGTTCCTATCTTTGTTAAGGAGTTGATCGCCGGTGGTGCCGCCGGTGCATTTGCTAAAACCGCAGTTGCTCCGTTGGAACGAACTAAAATACTACTGCAGGTGAATCCTATGAAGTTTTCTTGCCTTTTTTTGTTTTGTTTTAGTGGAAGTAAGCTCTGGTTTATTTAGGTTGTCTGTAGAATGTAGATGTTTAACCAATTTTTTTTCGTACTTATTGATCTGCAAAATGCCGATATTGAATCTTGTTGTCGGTTTATTTTGGGCCGTTATAGACTAGAACACAAGGCTTTCATTCGCTAGGGGTTTACGACTCGCTGAAGAAGCTAGTGAAGCATGAAGGTGTAGCAGGATTTTACAAGTAAGCTTCGTCACCGTAATTTTTCTTTCAACCCTTAATTTCATATTTAAGTTTGAGAATAACAACATGGAATATTCTTTTCTTGATGCCACCAGAGGAAACGGAGCTAGCGTAATTCGCATAGTTCCTTATGCAGCAATACATTTCATGACATACGAGCAGTACCGTTTATGGATTTTGGATAACCACCCTGGTTTAGGAACGGGGCCCGTTGTCGATCTTTTAGCTGGTTCTGTTGCAGGTGGGACCGCAGTTTTATGCACTTATCCACTAGATTTGGCTCGCACTAAACTCGCTTACCAGGTACGACTCGTTTTTTTTTTTTTTTTTAAATCGGTTCTTTAAAAAAATAAAATTTCTAATCTAGTATTTTTTTTTTAGATTGTAGACACGAGAGAAAGTGTGCAGAACCGAGCGAGACAATTCAATGCGAATCATGCTTATAGTGGAATTAGAAATGTAATGGAAAGAGTTTACAGAGATGGAGGAGTTCGTGCACTTTATCGAGGCATAGGTACAAAAAAAAAATATCGAAAATAAATAAATATTTTAATTAATTTTATTTGATATTATGATGAAAATTGATGAGCATTATTTGTGCAGGTCCCACAATGATTGGTATTTTACCGTACGCTGGCCTGAAATTCTACGTTTACGAGGAGCTGAAAAGGAATGTTCCGGAAGAACACCAGAATTCGATTTTAATGCGATTATCTTGTGGAGCTTTGGCCGGTTTATTTGGTCAGACTTTTACTTATCCGTTAGATGTTGTTAGGAGACAAATGCAGGTGATTAGTATATGTCTATTCAATTATATATATATATATATATATAAATGCATAACACGGTATGCGTATTTCAGGTTGAGCATTTGCAACATTCATCACAAGGTGGCGTAATATACAGAAGCACGTCGGAGGGTCTCGTTTCTATTGTTAGCAATCAAGGTTGGAGACAATTGTTTGCTGGCCTAAGCATCAATTATATCAAGGTAATTAACTCTTATTTTATTTATTTATTTATAAAACAAAATCGGGAAAAGGATAATAAAGACGATAGGTATTATTTGGTGTGTGTTGCAGATCGTACCTTCGGTTGCAATTGGATTTACGGCTTACGACATGATAAAGGCATGGCTTAACATACCTCCTCGCCAAAAATCGAAAGCAAATTCTGCTGCCTAAATTTGCTGCTTTTTGCTTCTTTCGTGTTACTGTGGTGGTAGTTACTCCTTTTATGTGACAGTTATAAATGACGATCTCGAATGAACTTTAATCGCACATGTATCGAACTCAAGTTACATATTTGTAATATTTTTTTTATCAAATCAGAACCTCACAACTGATACAAATCAATGAGATCAATTGTTCTTGACCCTCTCTCATTACAACAAACAATATATATATAGCTGATACACACAAAACTTAACTATAAAAATCCCAACTGATGAACAAGATCACGTAAATCCTCACCCCATTCCGGTGTGTTCTCAACCAATTCTTCCACTTCCACTTCGTCCGGCAAGACGGCTTCTTCCACCTCATCGCCGCCAACTAAAAAATCGTCACTTAAAAAATCCTCCCATATATTATTATCGATATGATTATTATTGATCAAACCAGCGTCGTTTAGGTCGCCGCTAAACGGCACTTCCTCAGGCAAAAGAAAGCTCTCGACCTTCGACTCAATATTAATATCGTCTCCATTAATCATTTCCTGCAAATCACTCTCCACACTCGGACTCATCGTAAGTCTCCTCTTCTGCCCTATCTCAATGTGTTTCTCTTCCTTCTTTTGCACGTATTGCTGTACGAAAACGGGGCTTCTGAATGCTTTAGCAAGAAAGCTCATTATTTGGTGCTGCTTTTTTTCCGTGGTTTGAATTCTCTCTTCCATTGCAGTCATTCTCTCCTTTGAGCTCTTCTGCTGTTGCTTGAGTTTCATAATCTCCGCCATTAATGTATCCCGGTCTCGTTTCAGCTTCTCGATTTCTTCTTCTTCATTTATTAGCTCTGTAATAGTAGTACTCCCTCCTCCTATGCATTGTGGGGTGGTGCTGCTTGGGGCGACGTTTCTTCTTCTTTTGATGGTCTTCAAGAGATGCTTTTGCCCTCCTAGAAACCCCTCGTTCGCGAATTCCCATCTATCGGGATCCACTTTCCGAAAACCCTGCATAATTTTCGACATTTCATTTCAGTAATATTGCAACATTGAAAAACGACAACGATATTGTGTGCTTCTTCGAGTGATATTAAACACAAGAAACAGAGCAAAACAACCTACGGCAGACAGCTTCCAGAAACAGCAAACATGGCAGAAGAATCAGCAACGACTGCAATCATAGTAGCTCATCAGAATCGATAAACAAAAGTTCTTTCAACTGTAAAACATTGCTAAATCATACTTTCGCTTATAAGAGTGAAGTCACCAAACAACAGTTTACAGGATAATTGGGGGAAAATCACCAGAATCTCGAACCCCCAATTCGAGTAAATCGAGGCATTAGAAATCGATTATTCTCAACGAGCTACAAGAATCTCGAATTAAACACCAGTGATCATCAATCAATCAATCAATTAATAAGAGCAACCGCACAAATTCATCAATTAAATCAATCAATCAATCAATAAGACCAACGGAACCGCAAATCGCATAATATCGAAACAGTCTGGAATTATTTACAAATTGACCATGGGGATCTGATAAAATTGAAGAAGAAAAAAAAAGCACTTACATATGTATTAAGCTGACGAATGAAGCTGGAGAAATTGCTGTGCTTGAAGTATCTGGGAAGCAGAGCTGTGGAGAATTTGTAAGAATCCCAAACAACGAAGCTGTTCTTCGCCCTGCTCCACGAAATCACCGAATCGGTCGACGGATCCTCCACCATTTCGAAAGTTTTCGTTAGAAATGGAGGCGGCCCCACCTCGTGCAAACCCTCCATCGGATGTGGGGAAGACGACGATGACGACGACGGCGACGCCGCGGCGGTGGCGGTGATGATAATGCAGTCGTCTTCAACTACTTCCAATTTCACGCCTTCCATTATCAGATGAAAATTCACTTTGATTTTGGTGATTTTTTTGAGATTTTTGCTGAAATCGGAGTTCAGTGGAAGAGTGATCGGATTTTATGTGAGCTGAGAAGAAGGTTCTAGAGATTGTTGGTGGAACTTTTGATTGGATATTTTTTTCATTTAAATAATCGTGACAGCTGTTAGCTTATGTGGTAGACACGTGGGAGTTTTTTATTTGGTCAAAATTTTATCTATACACTTCTCGAGGTTTAGAGTAAACTTTAGAATAATCTTTAGATTAAAATTAGCTAATTATGAATTGTCCTAGGAAATTAATGAATAAGATTATCAAATTGGACTCACAATCATACCATGTGAGCCGAATTTTGGTTGGCTCAAGTTTATATTGTGTCGGATCTTATTATTAAGGCTCAAGCTCACACGCTATCGGACCTACGAGTTTATAACGAACAATATATATATTGCATACCTTTACAACTCAACAAACGAACGTGTTCAAGAAAAAAAAAATATTTGCATCTGAAAAGCGAAATCTAGAGTATTCATGGATAGGGAAATAAGAAAAATATAATGGTCACAAAATATGTTAAAACGGTGGTTTGTTTCGTATTTGACTATTGTCATTGCCAGTCCCCCACCATTTAATTATTTTTCTTTTTTTGGGAAAATCAAATGATATAATACGGTTATAACTTGTATGTTGAGCCATGTCATTAAAAGAATAAATATATCATATATTTAATTATTAATTTAATCGGATGGGCTTTATTCCAGTTAAGCCATAGTATGCTCAAACTCAACTCATAAATTAATTAAGATTCATATAATTGTCCAAACTCAACCAGACTCACTTAATTTTAGGTTCGACTCGAATATAATAGGGTGGAGCCACCATCAAACTTCAAGACTAGTCTCAATTGATGGTCCTAACTATCTATATACTTTGATTAATTTATTTATGGGCTGAAGGCCCAACAAAATTTTAAGGGACAAAATAGATACAAATAAAATTTAAATAAGAAATAAGAAAATGTATTTGGAATGTAATCTATTTTGTCGTATAGTGAAGTGGTATTGGAGATATTAATGTTAAATGATACATTTCACTAACAGCTTAAGCTTTTGGTTGAGATGGTCATTCAACATGGTATCAGAGCCAGACCAAATGAAAAGGTCCTGAGTTCGAATCCCACAGCCACCCATTTAAAAATATTTCAAGTGCAAGGCTTCAAATATAATTCGCCTGCCTTGAGGGGGCGTATTGGAGATATTAATGTTAAATGATACATTTCACTAACAGCTTAAGCTTTTGGTTGAGATGGTCATTCAACAGGCTCCACACACATTTGTGTCGCGTGTGAAAGTGTTTTACTACATATTCCAATGCCACCAAAAACAAAAGCAAGTACTAATTACGTAATTAGTAAAAATAAGTACAACAAATTAAAGTCTTCTTTTTGCACCACAACTTACGTAATAATGTTACTTTTCTAATAATGTAACCCATGCCCTCATCATCGGGTCCCCTTAATTTTATAAATTATTATAATCATATGTTTTTAATTAGTATCTGTATTTATATACTTTATGTAACCCATGCCCTCATCATCGGGTCCCCTTAATTTTATAAATTATTATAATCATATGTTTTTAATTAGTATCTGTATTTATATACTTTTATCTTATTAGAGAAACTAACATTCAATAAATAAAGAAAAAGAAAAAAAAAAAAAAAAAAGAGGTGAGTGATCACACGCCCCTCTACCCAACCATACCCACCTCAGACCCACCCCCATTTACCAACCTCTATTGCCTCCCCACCTCTATTTCCGTTGGAGATGGTCTTAGGTATATATCAGGGTTGAAATCGAAGTAATCGGATCGAAATTAGCACTTTCGGAAAAAAAAATATTCTTTCACGCAAGTGAAAATTTAATTCCAACCATGTATCAAGAACATGGAAGATTCGGAAACTGGAATGAACAAACTCGTACCAAATCCAAAACCGAAGGAATTCAGAATGTTCCATTACATTTTGTCACCTAACATATGAAATCGGAATTTTTGAAATTATTTTCAAAAGTTAGAATTTTCAATAGTATTCCAATTCTGGTCCTAAATAAAATTTGAATCGGATATGTTAGAATTTGGAATGGAAAATAACATGATTCCAACATCGAAGAATTTTGGATCGAAATTGGCAAATATCATAAAACAAAGTTACATTTTAAAAAATAATAATAATTGATTTTTATAAATAATAGTTAAAATTCAATGAAAACATATATGTATTTTATTCTCCCATGTAAATATCAATAATTTTCAAATATATATATATATATATATATATATATGGTAAATTATGGCCAACCCCTTAGGTATGACAAAATTACGAAAAAAAAAATCTCTTATTTAGGTAATACAACAACCCCGTCATTTGAAATATTTTTACATAAAATTGATATAATTCGCCTACTTATCAAACCAAATAGTATGTTCAGTTCGGTCAACTGTATGAAATGTTGGCTTACCGAAGTTTCGGTTCAATTTTACCGATTTAACATCCCTAAATTTACATGTGAAGGGAATTTTTCGTAAAAGAATACATAATTGAAGGATGGTTGTAATTACCCAAACAAGATGGGGGTTTTCGTAATTTGACCATAACTCAGGAGTTGGTCGTAATTTGCCCCGTATATATTTATATATATATATATATATATATATATATATATATATATATATATATATATATATATATAAACCCCCACGCACCTCTTTCTCCTCCGTGTACCTATTAATTCTCATTACATCATCACGCACAAAAGTTGAAACTCAAGATTTTCTCGCCGTATTTTCCTCCGGCGACCAAAATTATTTCCTATGCAAGAATCATAATTATAGACTTTATAAAGTGCAAAAAGTACATATAACTTCTGACCTGAGATAGATAGATAGATATATCATATGTATGTGAAGAACAGCAGCTTAATTCCTCAGCCATGGCAACTTCTCGACATTTTCCGCGAAACCCCCGAACGAGTAAGGAAAAAACGACGCAAACAAACTAAATAACTTTCTCACAAACTCTGCTGCTTTTATTCCAAGAAGCAAAAAGAATATGTTCCAATTTGCCAGGTGGCCGAAAAAAAAAAAAAAAAAAAACGAATCCAATTCGCTATAATCCGCTCCAATTCATAAACTTCTTGATCTCATCGTACAAAACTAAAACAGCCGCTGCTCCAGTACTCCTAAAAATATTCGAAACCGCCCCTCGATAAAAAGAATTAAACCCCTCCACTTTGTATATCTTTCTCCAACAATCCATTGTGCTATTGTACATCGGACGGTCCAAACCCGATTGCATCATCATTCTCCTCCGAACAGTATCGAGCGGATAAGACAGCATTCCCGCTGCCGTCGTCACCGCCTGAGCAGCCACCCACCGCTTCCACAGCGCCACATCATCACCGGAGGAGGAATGTTCCGGTGACGACGACGATGACGCCACCATCATCTCCTTGATGGTGTCGAATCCTCCAAAGTATAGTCCACGGTGGACCACCATGCCATGCAGTGAGGCGGGGAGTCCTCTGTAAATGCCTCGAAACCCGTCTTTCTCGTGTATGGTTTTGAGGAAGTGGCGAATGCCTTTGAATTGTCTGGCTTCGGTTCTTCCAAGGTCGGCCGCTAGGCGAGTGTGTGCTATATCGAGCGGGTAGATTATGATTAGGGTTGTGCAGCCCGCGGCGGACCCCGCTATGAAATTTGATGACGGCCCCCACAAAAAATCGCCTTCTTTTGCGTTTCCCCGAAGAATATTCCTGTACAGATCCTGTCGAAAGATGTAACACGTATGGATTAATCTTGAATTTTGTAAAGTGTGGTGGAATTAGTTACGAGAAAATGTTCTTGCATGCTCGTTCTTTCGTTCATCATGCACGTTTTCACAGCTAAATGGCATTCATTTTACGTCATTGTAAATCGACAGTCTCCCTCATTATCTTTATCGGTCGTTATTCCGATGTAATAAGAAAACAAACACCAATCAGCATACAACCACAAACTATCAATCAGTGCTCTGTCAGGAGCACTTAAACGAGCGACACTAATTTAATGTGAATTTACTTTTTGCACATAGGGAATTTCGGACTAATTTCTCGATTATCGAGCAGTCGGGTAAAAGTACCCCCATCGGCAAAACAACATGGATATCTGAAGTTAAATCAGGGAAGATAAGATTAAAGACTGATACCAGGCATCGAGAGCGTTTACAGGCTGGCATGAATATGTCGATATGGGAAGCTTTCAATGCAGTATCATTCTTATGCTATAGAGGATATATAAGCGTTTAAATACATACGAAAAAATTAAGGCGTATTACACAAAACAACACATATAAAAGTCTATCGTACAACCAATTGAACACTGGTAATAGACAAGTTCATTGGCAGTTAAGTCGAGTTGTTACGGAAATGAAAACAACAAGCCTACAATGAATTTCTACCGCACAGCCGAAATCCACTTAAAGAAAAAACACACGTCTAACGATAGGGTATTATCGATCACCTTATTGAAACAGAAGTAAACTCAATCGCATTTTGCCAGCAATTTCACAAGTACACCTTTCTCGGCATTCAAAAATCAAAAACCGAACGAAGACAAGTGCACAAGATCATCTTACTAGATACACATACCATATAACAACTATTCATCATTCTTGAAAGCACAAGCACAAGAAGCACAAGCACAACAACGACCTCAATCTCAGACCGAAAAAAACGAAGCAAAAGAAAACAAGGTGAAAAGGGGTAAAACTGTCTTTTTACCTTAAGAGAGAAATTTAGGGCAACAGAGGGGTAATATCTGATGACGCTGCTGCCATTGCCTCTCCACAAGGACAAAATGCCTTCTTCCCTAACAGTACGGGCAATGCAATCCACCATCCCCTTGAATCTCCGGTGGGGCCCACCGGCAAGGATTGCCATATTACTCTCTTGAGTTTGCAGGAGAAGCTTCGCCCTTTCTATGGGGGCCACAATCGTGTGCACCACGCCACCCATCACCGCCCCGGCCGTCAGATCTCTGTGGAAATTGGTCAACCAATTGGGCGTCGGCGGCGGCAGCGAGGAGGATTGCTTCCTTGGAACAACCCCACCGCCGCTCTTCTCTTCTCCGGCGGCGTCGCCCTCCTCCTCCTTCGCACCCACCATTGTTTCGCCGGATTGAAAACCTAATTTTTTTTCCCCCTTTTTTTCTAGCGTAGTGAAACTGTAATTGACATCTGTGTATTGATTCTTGAAAAGGGCAGCTGGAAAAATGAAATCTTGTATCTGGGTTATTATGCAATCTGGATATTCTTTTATCCTGAAATTGTATGTACACTGTAATTTAGGTTTCCTGATTGGGAAAACTAAGCTAGCTTGCTAATGGCTTTTCTTTGATTCCGGTTTCTAACTCTGCTGCAATTGCTGCCACAATTCTTTTTCGGACTTTTTTTTTTTTTTTTTCTTTTTGGGGCTCTCTTTATCTGGTAGAGGGAGGGCGGCGGTGGTTTTGTTGATAGCTAATTAAAATTTAAAAGGGGTAATTAGTAATTACTAATTAATCTTTGGTATAATATTTTTATTTTATTTTTTGAGAAAATTGTATTTGGTTTACAAGAATTTCAGTTAATAAAAGGGCAAATTACCATGATCCTGTATTATACAAATTTGTAGCATTATTTGTTTCATATAAATCATACAAATCTGTTTTTGAACCATTAAATTTTAGGGTAAATTATGAGTATGCCTCTAATGTAATGTAAGGTCAAATTATTAGAAATTGCCCCTATGTTAGGGTAATTATAATTATTTCTTAATTATGAATATTTTTACACGTCGATTTATGTGATGTCAAAAAATAATAGAATCTTTTAGATTATATGAATTTTTTTTCCAATTTGTACATGTTTATCTCATTCGAACTTCAAATATTGAAACAAGATGATCATAAGTCGTGTCTATTGGCTTGTACATATCAAATTGTGGTGCATTATAAACTGCACTTTTACATAAAACGAGTCAAACTAGATACCATTCCATAGAATGTAGAAAATACCATAATGATGGACGTATAAAGAAATTTATAGTTGACCGGTTGTAAATATCCAAACATAAAGGGTTTTTTGGTAATTAGACCTTACATCCGGTGGAGAGTAGTCTACCATTAATTTGTTTTGTTTATTTCAACTTTCAAGACGTGCAGTGGGATTAGATACTTTTAATTTAATTTTATATTATTTTTAAAATTATCAAATATTGCTTAGTGAAAAACTATCAAATCAAGTGTATAAATAAGATCATCATTAATCAATAGACACATATTAATAATAATTGTATAATTCTAGAGTAAGATTAAAAAAAAAAAAAAAAAAAAAACCCCACGACAAATTAAAAGGAAATTAGTGTTTTAGATAATTAAGAAAATATTTAATGAGAGTTTGATTGTACGAGGAAAACGTTGTCTAAAAGGAAACGAATTCCTTCTCCCCCTTATATATATCTCTACCTACGCCTCTTATTTCCCATTCTCCTCTTCTTCTTTTTCTTCTTCAAAAAAAGAAAAAAAAAAAAAAAGTTTGGCAATGACGTCATCGGATTCCGATCTGCGATCAGAGTTGGAATCGGAGTGTAGACCGGAGTCAGTGGCATCAGAGTTGGAGTCGGAGCGTAGACCAGAGTCGGAATCAGGGTCGGATCACTGTTCAGATTTGGGTTCGGAATTGGGTTGGGATGACGAGGTGGAGTCGGAATATGAATTCGAGCCCTACCAACCGAGCAATGCCAAGTTTCAACAGATCTTCACATGTTATCCGATGAGCGATTACAAAAGCCCCCACCTCGAAGCCGGCGATAAGATAATCATGCCGCCGTCGGCCCTCTCTCGTATCGTCGATCTCGATATGCAGTACCCTCTCGTTTTCAAGGTGCACAGCTTCAACAACGATGCGATCCACCACTGCGGCGTGCTGCAGTTCGACGCGGAGGAAGACTGCGTCCACATGCCGGAGTGGATGATGGATAATTTGAACGTACTCGGAGGTGACAAAGTCGTGGTGACCAACGCCGCCGCCCTCTCCAAGGGGGTTTACATGAAGCTGCAGCCGCATGCGTCGGCTTTCACCGAGCTGGACGACCCGAGGTCGGTTTTGGAAAATACGCTCCGGGAATTCACGTGCGTGGGGCGTGGGAGCACGATTATGGTCAAACACAACCAAGTTGGTTACTATTTCGATGTTTTGGATGTGATGCCGCAGGGGGAGGCTATTACCTTGACGGATACCGACTGTCGTGTTGAGTTTGCGCCGGCGTTGGATTACGTGGAGCCGGTCAAGACCCGATCGAACGGTGGATGTTTGGTTCGGAAAGTCGGACGCGGTGAAAAGGTGGTGGAAGAAGAAGTAAAGGTGTTTAAGCCGTTCACGGGGAATGGGCGACGTTTGGATGGACAGGTGGTGGTGGCGGCGGCGCCGGCGGAATTGCCGGAACCGAGTAAAAGAAAACCCGGGGAATGTGGGGCCAAAGGAGAGTTCAAACCCTTCACCGGGAAGAGTCATGTTCTTGGATGTCTTTGATTTTTATTTTTTATTTTAATTTTAAGTTTATTTTTATTTTTATTATTATTATTATTGTTATATATTTATAATTCTTGAATATACAAAATTTTGGAACTATTCGAAAGTGTTTTTGGATCAAAAATCATATCGGAAGTCCCGAAAATTTGAAGTAATTCCAATTTTGATTCAATTTTTTTTCAGAAAAGTCGGTAATCCGAATTTTAGAAATTGAAATGAAAAATAACGATTCCAAAATCAAAACAATTCGAATTTAAATCGACGAAAATCGGAAACGTTTCGATTTCCGGCCTTAGCTCTTAGATACACATGATAATATCACCTACTATTCAGTATTAAGACACCTAATACCATTCTACATCTTTAGATTTTTACCAATTTATGAATAGTGTTAGCTTTGGTTACCAACATATTTAAATCGTGTGGGATTTTTGGCGGATTCAATAAATAAATAAAATATTGTCACTGGTTACAAATTAATTAAACATTATTAACCAGCTGCTAATCATGTTTATTAAGCACTAGAGCTGTGTTTGTTTATTGTGTGTTGATATTAATTAATTCGTGTCAAAATTAAAATCAATATAACCTAAATAAATTAAAATTAAAATTATGTAGTAATATAAAGTGATAATTAATTTGAAAAGAATGAAGTATTTTTCAACTAGGAAATAAGGTGTACCAGAACAGGCCCAAATTATTCAATTAAGAATAACGGGCTTTTATGGGCCCGTAATAATCATTGAAGCCCAATAAAAGACGACGCCACGCCGGTATAACTTTTTCCCGTCAATCGACTGAAAAAATTCCTTCTGAAAAATTCCTTCTGAAAAATTCCTCAAAAATCCAATTCGGATTTGGGAGGGCGAAAAGTGAAAAGGTGGAAAAGTGAGCAAATTGAAGGAGTAGAAAACACAGATATCTCCATTTCTGCCGATCTTTGTGAAAGACGGGATTTTTATTGTTATCGCTGCATCTGATCCGATCTGTTTATCTCGTGCATGCGGTTTTTGTATTCTACATTTTCCTTGTAATTTTATTTAAGTGAGGAATTGATAATCTGCTGTATTACTTTCAATTTTAGTTTTCCCTCAATCGATTGGTCGCCACTTTGTAAATTAGGGTTTTGTGGATTTTCGAGGTGGGTATTAGGGTTTCTGAGGTGAAGTATGTGGGATTATTAGTTAGGTTTTGGTGAAATAGGTGGGGGGGATTTTCTTGGTTTTGGGTGCTTGAGTGTATGAAGATCTGTTGTTTTCCCTTTCTATGCTTCGGAATAGGAGAAGAAGATAATAATATTTGCAGTGGCAGAGATACTTGTTATTTACTTTGTTCTAGTGAGGGTAAAGAGAGCACGAGGGAGGGCATTTTGGGAAATGAGAGTGAGGAAATGGAGCAAGATGATTTGAACTTACGGGTTTGGGAAACTGTAGGCGATGTTGTTGAGGGTGCAGAGAGGAAGGAGTTAGGGTTACAGGCGCTCGATGGAAGTGCAGGAGCTAAAAACAAAATCTTCGATTTTGATGACGATAAAAGTAAGGATTTGTTGCGTTGGATAAAAACTGATGTGGAGTCGAGACATGACGCTGCTGGTGGTAGTGGAAGTCGTGGCGTGGAAGTGGATGCTAACGTGGAAGTGGATGTTAATTTGAATTTAGGGTTAGGTGGCGAGCCTTCATCTTCATCAACAACAGCAGTTGCTACTGAGAGAGACAATGGTGACCGTGATATGCAGAATAAACGTCCCAAAGTTCATTCTTTTTCTCTGTAAGATTTTTTTTTCTTTATATTTTCGTATGTAATTGTCTGTGGACGGGGTATTCCTTTATTGCTGACTTGACATGCACAAAGATCCTTCTTTATAAATTAGATTTTTTGGCTGTGATCCTTTTGTTGAGAGTGACAGTCATTTGGGTTATTGTAATAGGGTATACTTATTAGATTGTATCCACCGTTGTTTGATCCTGTCGTTCATGAGTTTGAAACCTCTTTGTGTGGTTTAATTTTTTTCTTATGCTAATCTTTGTTCTTTTCCTATTCCCTTCATGTTGATCCACTCCGCACAAGTTTTCTAGTAGAATTAAAGCCACTTCTCTGTCCTTTCTATGTTGCTGTTTACAGTTATTCCTCCTGTCATTTCCTTTCAATTTGTAAATAAATCGAGGTGGAAATACTTATAGCATTCCTTTGTATCTGTAAATTGTGGCCTTATGATTGGAGTAGTAAGTGTGAAGTGTTTATGGGGATCCACTAATTTCCCTGGCTTGTCATTAAGAATTTCTGCAAGATATATGATGATATGATCATATTCATAATTACTTCTCTTCTGCAGGGATTGGGGTACTAATTTCGAAAGTGAAATTCACTACTTCACTCGTGTGCATGAGGAAGTTGGAGATGCGGATATGCCTGATGTTGTTGGAGATGGTGCTAGAAGTGATTTATTAGAAGTTCGGATGGATCTTACCGATGACTTGTTACATATGGTATGTATTGAGGGAATTGCAATTTGTTATTTGTTTGGATGGTCGAGTGGATCATAATATTGTTGTGTGCTGTAGGTTCTCTCTTTCTTGGACCATATTGATCTTTCCAGTGCAGCAAGGGTTTGTAGGCAGTGGAGGGATGCAAGTTCTCACGAAGATTTCTGGCGTTATTTGAATTTCGAGAATCGAGCCATAACTGCTGAACAATGTATGTATAGAAGTGATGTTTTAGTGCTCTAAACTTACGAGAACATGTAGATGTTGTGATTTCAACTCAAGCGTATTAGCTAGTTGAAAGGCCGAGTCTTCTAAAATTTTTGTTGCTTGTAGCTTATTTGCTCTTCCTTTCATCTCTTTGTATAGTTTATCACTGCCATAGATAAGTTGACTTTGGTAAGTTGTTTGGTGTTTCAGTTGAGGACATGTGTCAACGATATCCGAATGCTACTGCAGTAAACCTGTACGGTACTCCTGCTATCCATCCACTCGGGATGGAAGCAATCTCGTCTTTAAGGTAATTTAGATATTAAATATTTTGAAATTTTTTCTTAACTTGACAACCTAGTAAATGTTTATGATTCTTCTCATTTACTCCAGAAATCTGGAGGCTTTAACTTTAGGCAAAGGCCAGCTGAGCGAGACTTTTTTCGAAGCGATAACCGAGTGCCACACGCTGAGGAGTTTAACTGTCAATGATGCTACTTTGGGCAATGGCATTCAGGAAATATCCATTTATCATGATCGATTGCGCGATGTTCAGATAGTTAAATGTCGCGTGATCCGAGTTTCCATCAGGTGAATAATTTTTTCTGCTATGTTTTAAAATTTCTGTGAACACCTCATATTAATTTAAATCATGGTCCTTCTCAGGTGCCCTCAGCTCGAGACTTTGTCTCTGAAGCGGAGTAGTATGCCACATGCTGTTCTGCACTGCCCTCTATTACGGGAGCTCGACATAGCTTCTTGTCACAAGCTTTCAGATGCTGCAATCCGTTCAGCTACAACATCATGCCCACTCTTGGAATCGTTGGACATGTCAAATTGTTCGTGTGTCAGTGATCAGACGCTACAAGAAATATCTGCGTCTTGCGGAAATCTCCGTGTTCTTGATGCCTCATACTGCCCAAACATTGCATTTGAAGTACAATCTCTTATTAGTTCTATTCACTGATCGTGTATGTGTATATGTGTATTAACATGTGGTTCTCCCTTTGAAGTCCGTGCGACTTCAAATGTTGACAGTTCTCAAGCTTCATAGCTGCGAGGGTATTACATCAGCGTCAATCGCTGCTATAGCTAATAGTTCCATGCTAGAGGCAAGCAGTTTTTCATGAGCTTTTCGGCATTTTTTAATTCTCATGATTTATTTGGTTATGTACTATCGTAGTTGTTGATATGGGAAATTGTGTATCTATTTCAGGTTCTTGAGCTTGATAATTGCAGTTTATTGACATCAGTGTCTCTGGATCTTCTGCGCCTGCAGAACATAAGGCTTGTACACTGTCGCAAGTATGTTCTAATCTTGCAGCTAGAGCCTCAAACATTTTTTTTCAAAGATGGTAACTTCTTACTTGTACCTTTGCAGATTGACTGATTTGATCTTAAGAAGCAGTGTGCTATCATCAGTTACAATTTCTAATTGCCCTTCTCTCCAGAGAATCAGTATTACATCAAATGCCCTTAAAGTATGCTTTCCTTTTATGTTTCTGTTCATTCTCAAAATATTTTCGCCTTAAGATTTACTGTGCTTTAATTACTGGAATTAAGTGATTTTCCTGAAATTGTTTTGCAGAAGCTAGTTTTGCAAAAGCAAGAAAGCTTGACCACATTAGCATTGCAATGCCATTTATTGCAAGAAGTAGACCTTACAGAATGTGAATCTTTGACAAATTCCATTTGCGAAGTTTTTCGTAGTGATGGAGGCTGTCCTATATTGCGAACATTGGTTCTTGATAGCTGTGAGGTTTGTCTCTACAGTTTTTTTCTTTATCATTTTACTCCCTCTGTCTGAAATTAAATTTTTTGGTTCCATATTACGTGTCATGTTAGAATACCAATGTTGTGTTAATTACTTTTATCCATAGTTATGAAATTGCATATCTTATCGTGTATTGTTTTCCACTTATATCATATCGTATTGTGAACCGCAAGATACATGACCTAGTGATAAATAGCATAAAATATATCTCCACATGATAAAAAAATATTTTGCGAAGTATCTAAACATTGATATTCTAAACTCAAACCACTTGTCTGAAGAAAAATATATGTATTCAATCTCAACATTTAAGTTGTAAAACTAATAAAGAAACTATTTGTTCCAAACCCAATAAAATACCTCAACTAGCATACACCCTACTTTAATTGCTAGAAACAACCGAAGTAAATTGATACCCACACGCTTAATTGCAGAAGAATCCCGCAAAATCAACTGAAATGGTAGAGTTTCCACTCCAGTTGTAATGAGAAATTGAAATTTCACTTATTCTTTGCAAATCGCACAAGATGGTATTGAATGTTGGTATTTTTGTGAAGAAATTGAAGAAAGAAGAGTTGGATTGGACTAGAGTTTGAAGAATTTGCTAAAAAAAGGCCCTTTTTTTCCTCTTTAGAATTAATGATGAATCAGTTAATTGAAAAAACCAACTGGGTCTCACTGATCGATCCAGGTTGAAAGGTGAGAACAGGCCTATATAACTTCTTTATCTCGATACATTTCAATATGCATCGAATCCTATGCGATATGATGCAATAAATGGACTGAAACGATATGGAGACCTAGTCATTTAGCATATGAATCTTACTATATAGTACGATACGTGTCACTAGTTCTATCCGAATTTGCCCTTATTACTTCTAAATTCTATCAAACATTAGTTCTCACGAGTGGTTAATAAAAAGAGGATTAGTTGGGAGGGTATTTTAGTCCCATAACATATTTTTTCTAAAATGAATACATATTTGTTACCTTATACAGGTGTTGAAACCTTAAACGGCAGTTAGTTTGGAATCGATGGGATATCCTTTTTTCTAATGTTTAATTCTTCTATAATTTAAAGCCTCCTTGTTTTCTTCTCCGTTTGTATCATTACAATGAAATCTCTCCCTCTCTTGTCTCTGTGTGAGAGAAGAGAATAATTACAATATTTCGTTCATCATTATTGCCATAGTTGTTTCCCCACCCCCCTCTGACAAATGAGTTATATTCAGTTAGATACTCGGAATATGCGCGATCAGCCTTTCCTAATATAAATGCATGCCGTTGGATTTGTATGATCATGTTTCCTGTATCTAATTGTAGTTATTGCACTTTGTAGAGCTTGACGGCAGTGAGTTTCTGCAGCACTTCGTTAGTCAGTCTTTCACTCGGTGGTTGCCGTGCAGTAACTTCTCTTGATCTGAGTTGCCCTTATCTAGATCATGTCTCTTTAGATGGATGTGATCATCTCGAGAAAGCAAGATTCTCACCTGTAAGTACACCATCATATTCACTTTTCTCACCCCCATCATTCTATTTGATTACTGCCTTTCAACCTTCCCGACTTCTTTTTTTTTGCAAAGATTTGAATAGTGGGATTTTTGCATTAAATGTTTACATAGTTTTTTCTGTAAAATTTACGTTGTTTGACCCTGATTGGCGTAATTGCAGGTTGGTCTGAGTTCCTTAAACTTGGGTATATGTCCCAAATTAAATGTACTCCATATTGAAGCTCCACAGATGGTTTCACTCGAATTGAAGGGATGTGGTGTCTTATCTGAGGCATTCATTGATTGCCCACTTCTGACTTCTCTTGATGCATCTTTTTGCAGGTGAGATTCTTTACTGTTAGATTCTGGTTTAATGAATTGGTCATTGAAAACATAGTATTGAGCGTAACTATATCTTTTTTATTCTTGACACTCGTAGCCAACTTAAGGATGAGTGTTTGTCTGCCACAACATCATCGTGTCCGCTTATTGAATCATTGGTATTAATGTCGTGCCCCTCTGTTGGACCCGACGGACTTTCATCTTTGCACTGCCTTCAAAGCTTGACCTACCTCGATCTTTCATACACCTTTCTGGTCAATTTGCAACCGGTTTTTGACTCGTGTTTGTATCTCAAGGTATTTGCTCTGCTTGTTCCATTCTTTCATTTTCATTTTTATACATATTTGTTTGTTCCATTCTTGAATCTTCATTTATATATATATATTTGAAATTGTAGGTTCTAAAATTGCAAGCATGCAAATATCTTAGTGATGCTTCATTGGAGCCTCTCTACAAAGGCAATGCTCTACCGGCTCTCACTGAACTGGACTTGTCATACGGGACCCTCTGCCAGTCGGCAATAGAGGAGCTTCTTGCTTGCTGCAGACATTTAACGCACGTCAGCTTAAATGGATGTATCAACATGCACGACTTGGATTGGGGCTCTCCAATCGACGATAGGCTCTTTGCAATGAGCACTTTTCACGAGGCGTTTGACTCTCCTATGGAAAAAGTCAACGAGCCCGTACAATATCAGGATGACCGTTTGCTGCAGAATCTCAACTGTGTTGGTTGTCCGAATATCAGAAAGGTGGTTATTCCTCCTTCAGCTGGATGCTTCCACCTTTCTTCGTTGAACCTCTCTCTGTCTTCAAACCTCAAGGAAGTCGACATTTCGTGTTGCAATTTGTATCTTCTGAATTTGAGGTATTGCCTATTTTTTCTCCCCACTGGTTAAAATATGTTACTTATTGTATACCTTGTATCATGTTATTTATCTTATTTTTTTACTTTGTCCAGCAATTGCTACTCCTTGGAAATTTTGAAACTCGACTGTCCAAAGTTGACCAGTCTTTTTCTTCAGGTATGTTTTCATCCAACTTTCCTGTACTGTAATAGTTGCTATTATTCCAAGTGTTTCTGTGCAATGAATGTTATGATATCCATGTAATTGAGATTTTCTTGAATATTCGTGCTGCTACTTGTGGTTGGTTTATTTCGTATAAATAGTACAATACTTAATACTATTCGAAGAATGGACATGTGGTCTTTGAGTGCTCCTTTATGAGTAAGGAAATAAGTATTGCGTTAGTTACGGAATCACGAAAACATGATTTATAATCCTTGCTAGTTGGAATTTGTCAGTTTTATTTATGATGTAAATTCTCTAATCCCGTTTGTTTTTCGGCATCTTGCATTTTACCAGTCTTGTAATATGAACGAGGAAGCAGTGGAAGGTGCGATAATGCAATGTAACATGCTCGAGACGCTTGATGTTCGTTTTTGTCCAAAGGTGGGATTTTATTTTCACGCCTTTATCCCAACATTTGTTATGTTTTAGAGTCGAAATTTTCCTAAAGTATATAATTAATTATGTTTGTGTTTGTTTCGACTCGACAGATATCTCCATTGAGTATGGTGATGTTACGCACAGCTTGCCCGAGTTTGAAGCGCATTTTCAGCAGCCTAGTCCCCAACATGATTTCATCATCAACTTCGTAAACCAACGATTCTCCATATATCTCCTGTAGATAGATAAATGAATTATTTTATTTCGAGTACTACAACTTAAAATAGGTTTAATCAGATTTTAAGAGTAATATAGTAAATTATAATCACCTGTATTCTCCTTTGTTGTCTTGTTATTCATTTCTTGACTGGTTTAACTGACTGTTGGCAACATATACTTTTGTTGATTTAACCTTTTTTTTTTTTTTTTTATCGAGGTTATTCTTAATCTCGGTTATCGGTGGGTATTTATGTATGTATGTGGCCGGATTATATATCCCGAATCTGCTATTTAAATATGGATTTTATTTGAATATTGCCAGATTATTGCTTTCTTATATTTGTGATATTATGATATTGTATATTTGAAAAGAGTTAAATGCAAAAACCACCCCTGTGTTAATCCTAAAGACCAGAAAACCCCCCATGATAAAAAAAGTGACAAATACCCCCCTATAATGTGTTCAAGCAAGCACACCCAACCCTTTTTGTTTTCCCCCGTTGACCACTCATGAAAAGACAAAAAAGCCCTCAAGAAAAATATTTTAAGACTGAAACAATTTTTTTGGAATTTTCAATTCAGTCCATTGTATTTTCAATTAAGCCCTCTCTCCAATTAAAAAACACACAGTAACACACAAATACACACACTTCTCTCTGCGCAAGTATACAAACCTCACGCCACCACTGTCGTCTCCGCCGCCACCTTCTTATCATCATACAAATCTCAAACCCACTCAAGATTCAATCCATATCCGTCAAAAGCTCCGCCCAATTCAAAGAAAACGGGATTTTTTGCAACCTCTAAGGTGGAGGACGTTGATCCGACGAGTTTGCTCCCGAAGAAAACCGCCGGCACAAGGCCACTGTAGCCCATCCTCGATTTCCTTACCCCCTGAATCGTGTTCAATTTCGATTTTCTCACTTAATTGAAGGCTGAAATTCTGAGTTGTTGGGGGAGGAACTGAAGACGGTGGGGAAGAATTGAAGTGGTGGCGGAATTGAAGAAGGGGGTACGGACTTACGGTGGAATTGAAGGTGGCGGCAGATTAGTGAAATAATAAATCTGAAAGTGGCGCCAAGGGGCCATTTGCGAGTGAAGACGACGATTTTGAGAGGGCCAACGGTGGATTTTTGCTCTTCGTCGAAGAACTCGTCGAAGTGGAGGTCGCCGGACGATAACTTGGTGAAGAGATTTAAGCGGGGGAAAAGGATGATAAAGGGAATTGCTGCAAGCAGATGGCGGCGAAGGAGGCTTGGGCAACTCTGAAGGTAGAACTTGATTTTTTAATGGCGGCGGCGGAGGAGGCTTGGGCAGGGAAGAAGAACATAATTTTTCAATTAATTAATTTATATAATATATATCTTTTCACAATTTATTTGTTTAAATTGAAAACTAAAAATACAGAAAGTTTCATAGGGGCGATTTTGTCTTTTCATACAAAATATTGTACAAAAATCAAACAGGAGTCGCACGAATAGCGCGTGAACGACACAGCCGATCGTGAGGGGGGGAAACGACTTTGACTATTGAATACAGGGGGGTTTGGGTCACTTTTTTTATCACAGGGGGTTTTCTGGTCTTTAGGATTAACACAGGGCTACTATTTGCATTTAACTCTATTTGAAAATGATTACTATGATAATTATTTTAGATATTTTGTCAACAGGTATTCGATCTTTAGATCTTCGTTCAAATAAATATAATTTTTGTTATAAGTATTTAATAAAATCATACTGAATAAAATTTAATAAATTTTATATCATTTCTTAGAAAATGTTTTTTTTAATAAATGTTGGGAAAAAAGAAGATCGAATAACACGTAAAATGTACAAAAGCGAACACATTGAAAATCAAAACGCATAAAATATAACACCTGTTGATCCCTAATCGATGGTAAAGCCTTTACACTTCAAAACCAAAGCAAGAACAATTAGAACAATAACAATACCCGTCGAAGAACCACCGACTCGATGAATCCAGTAAGGGTCGAGAGTAAACCCCCGCTCTAAATAACCCGAAACTGCAATGCTTATTATCAAAACCAGCAGAAAAAACGGCAGATACGATGAAAAGTCGATTATGCCCTCTTCATCGACTTCTTCTTCCTCAGCTAACAATCTCCGATCAATGTACAGTGGAGAAACTATGGCAAGAATTGCTAATCCTACGGCTAAAAGCCGCTGATCGTGATATGAAAACCTCCGGCTTCTGAGTATTGCTCGTTGCTCCATATCAAATTTAATTATTTTTCATTAAAAAAAATTGTTGTGATTGCAATATTAGGAGCTCACAGATTGTGGAATAAGAATAAATCTATGTAAAAGAGAAGCAACTAACTAACTAGTGATGCAGATATGTTGGAATCTGATTCTTGCAGCACTGAGTTTTAATTCTAAGGTTAATTAATTACCAATGCTAATTTGTTGTATCAAATCGACAAAATCAGAAAAGAATAGTCGAGAATTTCAACCAACTCTTATATATATTTAAAGAATTTGATCTTTTTCGTATCTTAAAATCGAAACGATGACTTGCATCCAACGATTTAGCTAATTTATTTAAACCAACGTTACATATAGAGATTGCGGTTAAATAGATACATAAGTTCGACAATTCAACTTTATATTCGTACTTATTTTTCTAATATTTATTGTGACAGCGAAAACTCATTTTCTAGAATGAACGTCGAAAAATCGTACCAGAGATTAATTAATTAATTGCGAAAAGATTAAACACTTAAATGATGTGATTACACATATATAAAAATATATGTATACAAAAAATATGGAGGCATTAAATGGACACGTGATGCTGTTGGAGGTATTTCCATGTAAAAATGTTATGCATGTGATGAATGGCCCACCGTATCCCCCTGGACCCCCACCGTTTCTAAACATTCCCCTCGTTTTCAGATAATTATATATTAATTAATTATTAATTTAAGACAACATAAAATAAAACCCACATTTTGCAATATATTAATTAAACCATATTAAGAAATGTTAGCAACTTTGTAGTTTATGGATATTTTCAGCACGTGGTGGTCCACTCCCTGCCAGCCAGCCCACTGGGCTTCTTTAAGCCCAATACGACGACAAATTAATTATTTATTTATTTATTTATATATTATTATTATTATAACCAACGTTGAAATATGGCTTTAAAGTCAGCTAAAAAGTGTAAAGAAATTGGAACCTGAATTTTTATTTTTGTAAATGACAAATATGCATGCACTAATAATTATTATTTAATAAATAAATAAATAAAAAATAAAAAATAAATAAAAAGGCAAATTCAGAAAATATGGGTGTTTGAGTTTTGAGAGGCATTCTTTAAACAAGGGAACATGGATGAAATTGACGTTCGATTTGACGTTTCAAATGTTAGGACTTATGTATGTAGGTCTCACTAAAATACTATTTTTTTGTTTTTTTAATTTTTCTCTTTGATCAAAATAATGTCTTAATAAATAATAATAATAATAATAATAATAAAATAAGAATAATGCTAGCAAATAGAAGCCCCTATTTGACGCCGTTAAGTGGTCCGTCAAATGGGGTGTTAAAAATGTCAGGCTTTTAGAGAGAGTGGGCCCCACAATAGTTTCATCATTGTTTAATGTCAGAATGAGGATGTGAATGAATGGGACCAGGTGGCCTTCCCGAGGCAAGTGTAAGTAGCTTAGAGCAAAAGTTTAAGGGTGGGATGTAATTTTATACTTTTTACGGGACCTTATCCTTTAATGTTTATTGTTTAGCATTATGTTGGAATCTTTATAATCATAGTTAAGTTAAATAACACTTACCGCCCCCGTAGTTTGAACTTTTTGCATACAACCCCTCGTATTTTCAATATATGCATACGAATTATAACTACCCTGTAGTTTGAAGTTTGAAGTTTGAACTTTGTTCCCGTCACCCCCTTGTACTTTTTAATATAAGCAGATAACCTCATATGATATTCCATTAGGAAGATGAAGTTTTTGAAAGTATGAGGGGTTTATGTGCAATTTTTATTCAAACTACAAGGGGTTGAGTGCTATTTATCCAAAAAAATTGAAAAAAAATAGAAAATTTGAACATTGTGCATTAAAAATATCATCCTAATTACAATTCAACCACATTTTATCAAAAAAAAAACCACATTTTTTTTTTTGCGTGTGTTCTTAGCTAGCTACCAATTAAAATTATTGAATAATTAATTTTCCAGGTGAAAGGAAAACTGCAGTTAAAAAAGGGGTTTAATCAGAATATCCCAAGTTAATGAATATGCCCATCAGTTCATAAGGGGCACCCCCAGTTGATCTCAAAGACTGTAGAAAGAAAAAAATAATTAAAGATTCAATTTTTATTTGGTTATGGGGGTAAAGATTGAATTTTTACCCACCCAGTATTTGTGGGAAATGGACAAGAGTAAAAAATAAAATAAACAATTAATAATTAAAGAAGATGCAGTTTCTCTCATAGCTAGTTGTGCAGTGATGTGAACTTTACATGGATATAGATAATTGGTTGAAAGAGAAGATAAAGTGTTAATTGTCAACTGAAGAAATAAAATTGAGATGAATAGTGTTGGCTTCGTCTCTACTCTCCCTGCATTGATAGCGACTTTTTTTTTATATATCCCCAGAAAACTTTAAACCAAGATTTATATGCAAATTTTTATTTATTGCACTTAGATCCTTCTAGAGGCACCATTTTTTAATTAAATTTACATATACATACCTATATTTTTGTTTGTACATGTGTAGCTTTGTACTTGTTAAGGTGAGAAATTAAAGCTTAGTGACACTCAAGAAGGATTTAATTTGTGTAAACTGTTGAGAGTATCCTTTAAATATATATATATTTGTATGTGTATATATATATATATAGAGAGAGAGGGTGTTGTAGTAGTGATGAGAGAGAAAAGAAAACTGTCAAGTGAGAGCTGTAATTGTATCAGAACCTTGGCAGGTGGTCTTTTAACTTTTTTTCCTCTTCAAAATAACTCTCTCCATTCTCTTTCTTTCTCTCTCTACATTTACTTGCATGCAGTGTTCTCACTATTCTCTCTCTCTCTCTCTCTATCTATCTATCTCTCTCTGCAGGGCTCTTTGGCAGAACGATGTGATTGAACACATCAAAGCCAGAGCCTGCTCTTCTCCTCCTTTGCACATTTTTCCATAATCTTTATTACTTTGTAATTACATTCCTCTTCTTCTTCTACTACCTTAATCTCTGTCGGTGAAAAAAAAAATCCCATCTTTCATTTACAACCTTTCTCTTGTCAAAATGTACTTCCAGTTTGTCTTCCTAGGAAGAGGTTTTGTGTAATAAAAGTTCGTTCTTTATTCTTTACTGTGTTGAAATATACTGTAAGCCTGTTTTTGAGAAGTGGGCTATGGCTGAATCTTGGAAAAGATTCGTTCTTGTTGGATTTCTGGTGGGTTTGAGCTTTTTTTCCGGTGATTGTGACGGTGGCGGCGACGGTGAGTTTGGTGGTTTTTTTTTGGTTTTGAACTTGTGTCATCAATCTTGGCTTATTAAGAAGCATGGGTCTTTTTTGATTGTTTTACTATTTAATAATCATTAAATTACTGTAATAACTTTTCAACAGAAGCTTCACTATGTTTGTCCTATTGCATAATTACGTCATTGTCTCCACTTAACCCTACTTATTATAATGACTTAACCTTATCATTTATGTTTAAGCACTGTGATAAATATAACCCTCTCTCTCTCTAACTCTCTCTCTCTCTCTAAAAAAGGGAGTACTTTGGTGGAGGTGAAGAAATCATTTAGAGATGTGGACAATGTGCTGTATGACTGGACTGAATCTCCATCTTCAGACTATTGTGTATGGAGAGGAATCTTGTGTGATAACGTCACCTTCAATGTGGTTGCACTGTAAATATACTCTCATCTTTCTAATGTTTTAGTTATTGATTTTTTATTACATTAATTACTTATTATACTTATGCACCCATGTTGCAGTAATCTTTCAGGTTTGAATCTTGATGGGGAAATTTCGCCTGCAATTGGCCTGCTTAAAGGCCTTGTCTCAATGTAAAATTGACATTCACTTTCAGATTCTTGTTTTTTTTTTTTTTTTTTTTTTTAAGTTTTCTTGTATAATTAGTTTCAGTTTTTTTTTTAAATTAGTGATTTACGGGGAAATCGGCTCACCGGACAGATCCCGGATGAAATCGGGGACTGCTCAAATTTGGAAAGCTTGTAAGTTAATGAATTTTGAAGTAATTAAGATTATTTGAGATGATTCTGATTTGTTGTAAAATATTAGGGATTTATCATTCAATGAGCTATATGGGGATATTCCCTTTTCGATTTCGAAGCTCAAGCAGCTTGAAAATTTGTAAGTAAAAGAAAAAATCAGCTCAATTATTTATTTGGTTCGCTTTAATTCGGGATCGTTTCATACTTATATATTTACTCTTTACAGGATTTTGAAAAATAATCAGTTAATCGGTCCAATCCCTTCGACACTATCTCAGATTCCAAACCTAAAAATTCTGTGAGTACTATGTTTCTTTCGTGTTTGATTGATTCGACTGCGATGAAAGAACCGTATACGAAAGAACGGAATTTTAAAACTTTCGGTTGCTTTAGGGACTTGGCTCAGAACAAGCTTAGTGGAGAAATACCAAGACTGTTGTATTGGAATGAAGTCTTGCAATATTTGTGAGTTAATTAAGATTATTTTCTATAGTCGATTAATTATTTGCCTAAGTGCGATTGTTCTAATTATTTGGTTTTTGTTGTCTCAGGGGTTTGAGAGGTAATAATCTACAAGGTTCACTCTCTGCCGACATGTGTCAGCTAACGGGATTGTGGTATTTGTAAGTTTTAAAACTTAATCGCCATCTTAATTGCGTGCGTAACGCTCGTTTTTTTTTTAATGCATTTTTGAAGAATTTGCTGAATATAATGCTATCTTTTTATGTAACAGTGATGTAAGAAATAATAGCTTGACTGGTTCGATTCCCGATAGTATTGGCAACTGTACTGCCTTCCAGGTTCTGTATGTATCTCAGTGAAGGACAAATTTCGAATTAGGACGATTTTTTCGAAATGTTTTAAGTTGACAATGAGTTTTTGGTGGAATGTTAGGGATTTGTCGTACAATAATTTGACGGGTGAGATTCCGTTCAATATCGGGTTTCTCCAAGTTGCTACGTTGTAAGTGTTTCTTCGATATATTTTCACAAATTTTGTCTTGGTTTGTGCTGAATTTCGTATATGACGCTGAATAAAATCTCTGTGAAATTTAGGTCCCTCCAAAATAACCGATTTTCTGGGCAAATACCATCGGTTATTGGGCTGATGCAAGCACTTGCAGTGTTGTAAGTACTCTTTCGATTTCTATTACACACACACACACACACACACACACACATATATATATATATATATATATATATATATATATATATATATATATATATATATATATATATATATATATATATATATATATATATATATATATATATACAAGAGTGGTGTCTAAATAGCAATTTTATTATTTTGGAGAGATCTAAGTTATAACATGGTGACTGGAACAATATATATATATATATATATATATATATATATATATATATATATATATATATATATACAAGAGTGATGCACTAAATAGCAATTTTATTATTTTGTAGAGATCTAAGATATAACGTGTTGAGTGGAACAATCCCACCAATTCTTGGAAACTTAACATACACTGAGAAACTGTAAGTAAATGCCGTCGTTTTTATTACATGCAAATTCGCCATTGTTTTTCCTTACAATTTATTTATTTGTTTTATTAATTTTATTTTCCCTTGCAGTTATCTTCATGGTAACAGGCTAAGTGGCTCGATTCCTCCTGAGCTTGGAAATATGACAAAGCTCCACTATCTGTATAATTCTCAAACCACAATCTTCGTTTATTTCGAAAAAAAAACGAACTAAACTTTCTATGTGTTTGCCTATTATGGAAGCTTATGTATTCATTTCTTGTGTACAGGGAATTAAACGATAATCTGCTCACTGGGCGTATTCCGCCAGAACTCGGGAAACTCACTGATTTATTCGACCTGTACGTTTTTACTTCACGAAATCTTTAATATATTAATATCTTCATGCATCTGAAAAATCGAGTTATTTTTCTACAATGCAGAAACGTGGCAAACAACCACTTAGAGGGGCCTATACCAGATAATCTTAGCTCTTGTACAAATCTGAATAGCCTGTGAGAATCTTTCTTTTTAATCTGTATTTTTCATAATAATTAAATAATATAATTTCCTTCGCTCGATCTTCGAATTAAATTCATTGACATGCAGAAATGTGCATGGAAACAAATTGAGCGGAACTGTTCCCCCTACATTTGAAAAACTCGAGAGCATGACTTATCTGTAAGTTCCTCACTGTTTTCTTTATAATAAAAATAAAGTTTATGCTTCATATTTTTTCTCTAATTATACGTTTTACTCTATAAATTAAACAATGTAGGAACCTATCTGCCAACGGTATAAGTGGTCCGATTCCGATTGAGCTATCTCGAATCGGTAATTTAGACACGTTGTAAGTAATTGACTTCGTCTTGTCCAGTAATATACTTATTCTAAAGTTTTTTCTTTTAGAAACTGTAGTAATACGATGTTGTTTGGTTTGAACAGAGACCTTTCGAATAATAGGATAAGTGGTTATATGCCATCTTCTCTCGGTGATTTGGAACATCTCCTCAAACTGTGAGTTATTTTTCTTACTTGTATCTTCTTGTATATACGATTTTTACTTTTATTTTTATTTTAATCCCACCTTCGGTTTTTTCGACAGTAATTTAAGCAACAATGAGTTGACCGGAGTCATACCTGCCGAGTTTGGCAACTTGAGAAGTGTTATGGAGATGTAAGGACATAAGCTACTTTAAAAAAAAAAAAAGGATCTCTTGTTTGTCGATCGAGTTTCAGTTTGTTGAACTGTGTTTCTTTCTTATAGAGATCTGTCAAGTAATCACCTATCAGGCTCGATTCCTCCGGCTCTTGGTCAGCTTCAAAATGTCTTCTTGCTGTAAGAAATCTCTCTCTCTCTCTCTCTCTCTCTCTCTCTCTCTCTCTCTCTCTCGTTTGATAAACGTTTGTGCAAAATAATGACAGTAAGCTGGAAAACAACAACATATCTGGTGACGTAATGTCCCTTGCAAATTGCATGAGTCTTACAGTGCTGTAAGTTCACTGACAAAACGACTATGTTTAACCGCATGTATATTTGCTTTGTGTGTCTCTAATACAATTGCGTTTATTACAGGAACGTATCGTACAACAATCTTGTCGGATATATTCCCACAGGAAATAATTTCTCAAGGTTTTCACCCGATAGTTTCTTGGGCAATCCTAATCTCTGTGGCTATTGGCTCAGCTCTTCGTGCCACACACCTCATACAGCCGAACGAGGTAAATACTCGCTCGTAGCACATTTGATTTTAAATTTTTTTTTTTAAATCATACGTTTGCCTTCTAATTTTTTGTTTTACGCGTTTGCAGTTTCGATATCGAAAGCAGCTATACTTGGAATTGCTGTGGGAGCACTGGTTATTCTTCTATTAATCTTAATCGCAGTTTGTCGGCCCCACAATCCGAAATCGGTTATAGACGGCTCGCTCGATAAACCAGGTTTGTTTATCATCAACTCCATAAACGGCAACAAAAATAGTTCAATATATAATATTAAGTTTTTATTTTTTTTGAGCAGTGAAATACTCGTCTCCGAAACTCGTAATACTCCACATGAACATGGCACTCCATGTATACGAAGACATTATGAGAATGACCGAAAATCTGAGCGAGAAATACATAATCGGATATGGAGCGTCAAGCACAGTTTACAAATGTGTCTTAAAAAATTGCCGTCCAGTTGCGGTCAAGAAACTGTACTGTCACCCACATTGTCTGAAAGAATTCGAAACTGAGCTGGAAACAGTTGGCAGCATTAAACACCGTAATCTCGTCAGTCTCCAAGGCTTCTCTCTTTCTCCCTCGGGAAATCTTCTTTTTTACGATTACATGGAAAACGGCAGCTTGTGGGACCTACTTCACGGTGTGTAATTCCGATTTCTTCATGTTCATCATATGTTTGAATTGTAAGTCTTCATCTAATAATATAATATAATTTTATTTTAATTACAGGAGCTACTAAAAAGAAGAAACTCGATTGGGAAACTCGTCTGCGAATAGCACTCGGTGCTGCACAAGGGCTCGAATATCTCCACCACGACTGTAACCCTCGGATAATCCATCGGGACATAAAATCTTCGAATATTTTATTGGACAAAGATTACGAGGCGCACCTCGCAGATTTCGGCATTGCGAAAAGCTTGTGTGTGTCCAAAACACACACTTCCACTTTTCTAATGGGTACGATCGGTTACATCGATCCAGAATATGCACGCACGTCTCGCCTAACGGAGAAATCCGATGTCTATAGTTACGGGATCGTTCTATTGGAGCTCCTTACGGGACTAAAAGCCGTTGACAATGACTCCAATCTACTTCATCTTGTCAGTTTTTTTTTTTCCTTCTAGAAACTTCTTCGTAATTACAGCCTTTTGAGGGTACTGACGATGTTTTTTTTTTGTTCAGATTTTGACGAAGACAGCAAATAATTCGGTGATGGATACAGTTGCAAGAGAGATTTCGGAGACGTGTAAAGATCTTGGAGAAGTGAAGAAGGTTTTCCAGCTGGCGCTATTGTGCACCAAGAGACTGCCTTTGGATCGGCCGAGCATGCATGAAGTCGTTAGGGTTTTGAACACGATGGTGGTGAATCTCCCGGAAGGTAAATCGTTCGGACAGAATATTCAGTCAGGCCCACTTCTCCCGTCGACGAAGATTCAGTGCTACATGGATGAGTATGCTAATTTGAAAACTCCTCATTTGGTGAACTGCTCGTCGATGAGTACATCAGATGCGCAGCTTTTTCTCAAATTCGGAGAAGTGATTTCTCAAAATAGTGTTTAAGAAACTCAAAAATTGGAATCAAGAATATATATTATTGTGCTGTGTAAATAAAGTTGAACACATGTAATTGTAGTAATTTGCTTATCTTGAACAATATCTTTGAACATGTCTGAATTGCTCAAAGTAAGTTATAACATATTTCGTATTAGTTTAGTTTAATTGTGAAAAACGATAAATCGAAATATAGAAACTCGGAACGATTTATTAATTAAATTAATCAGCATGGTTTTGTTTCGTCTAATTTATCAGAAACAGTACAGATTTTCGTTTCAACAGAAACACATTGATGCAAATCAGCTAAAGAAAAAGACCTACATGCCGAGAAAGAATTCTTTGGTTCTTCGGCTTTCTCAGAGTTCATGGCTACAGCCAAAGCCAAATTTGATGTCCGATTTGAGGTTGTCGCTTTCTTGAATGTGCCGCCACCGTTGCTTCTAAGACAAGAAACTCTGTTTTTGTGCAATGTTAGGTTATAAGCTAGTAGGTTTCTTCGTCTTCGTATGTACGGATTCTCTGGTTTTGCAATGTGTTTGATGGAAGATGACAACGGAGTTGAAGAAGAAGAAGCTTCTGCTAAAGTAGTGAAGGACTTTGATTTTCCATTGTAGAATCTCGAAATTCCTTTCCTGCATTCGTGCCATTGTTAAAACTCGTGTTCGTCTCAAAACATAGAAAATTGCTAGTTCGAAAATGTCTACTAAATATGAATTATTTTAGTTGAACTTCGAATTCTTCTTCTGCAAATACGAATAAAGAGTAACACTTTATTTAATTCTTTTACTTAAATACTTCGACTAAAAACGAAATTGAAACGATCGTCCCCGAAAATGTCTACTAAATTAATATGAATCAATCGTTTAATTTCGAATTCTTCTTCTGCGAATACGAACAAAGAATACTAAAATACTTGGACTAAAACCGAAATCGAGATAATTGCCGCCGAGAATGGATCAAAACAAATCATTTTTTTGGGACAATTAGATACAACATCATTGTATCTATTTCTATATTACAACAAGATTCAAATTGGTTTGGTTAGATCTACATACTAAAGATAAAACAGATCACGAAGTGATCCAAGCATGCAGTTTCAGCTAAATCCCAAATAAAAAACACACTCATCATATATATATATATATATATATATATATATATATATATATATATATATATATATAAAGAATGAACAAACAAACCTTGTGGGCAAAACTTGCTCCAAAGCTTCAATAGCATCATTAAAAGGGCTCTGAACCTCATCACAATCCTCTGTTTTCTCCATTGAATTATGAGAAAGATCACTGTTTTCCCCAATTGAAGAAGACGATTCATCCGAATTGCATGAATTATTTTTCACAAACCCTAATTTCTCCTCCTTCTCATCATCATCTTCATACACAACCCTTTCATCTCCTCTGCAAATCCCACCACCCATTTTCATCACTCTCGTCGGCATTTCCCCCCCTTCAATTTTAATTTAAAAAAAAAACAAATCTTTAAAAAAAACAGTAACATGGGCTCAAACGATCATAAAGAAAATCGAATTCGAAGAAAAGGGTTCCTGCTGAAAATGGAGATTATGATCTACAACAGTTTCTTTGCAAGAAGGATCAAATTCACTAGGGCAGCAGGGAACTGTTTGTAATAAGAAATACTATTTGTTTGTTTTATGTTTGATGGTGTAATAAGGACAAAAAGATATGGGCACAAGTATTTAAGGATTTGAATTGAATATTCTTTGTGGATTGGATATACACAATTTAATAAATTTGAGATAAAGGAGTTAGGTCTTATCCTAAAAGCCTCATCCATTGGTTATTTAATTCTTGTAGGAGAAGTTAAATGTAAATTTAAATTAAAATTTAAATAACGTACTATTTTATTATTTTTGTAGTAAGTAGCAAGTAGAAGTAATGTTTTGATTTGATGCACGTTTGATCATTGTTATCCGTTTCTACTTGCCGGGTATTACGGTAATCGTGCTATCTTTATCTGTTTATTTTTTTCCACATATAAACCAATCCGCACGTTGACTAATTCATATAAACTCCTCCTAGAAATGAACTTCTAGGCACAAAAGCTTATTTAAAATGAGAGAGGCCCAAGCAAGTGTAAACACGATCCATCAATTTTTTACTTAAATACTATTTGTTTCTCTCTCATTTGCAATCGTGCTGTTTTCCGTCCTGTTTTGTGTCTTCTTCCTTTGTACTACTCGAGAATCTGTCAAAGTTGAGGGTCAAATGCCACCGCACGCAGCTGACTTTGACTTTTTGGTGTTGTGTTCTTTGGCTGCATTTGATATGAGTCCTAAGATATGTAGAGTGTAAGCGATTAAGACACGTAAATGACCAAAATCAATTGTTGGATAGTGGATACTCCAATTTCTAGGCCCAATGTTAAACCGACAAATTAAAAAAAAAAATCATGACAGCCCATTTAAGAAATCCTTAACAATGTTGTTAAACTGTCCGGCTTGTTCAAGTTGAGGCACGTGTGAAGTTTTTTTAATAATTTGTAATTTGGCCCTCTCACCAAGCAATCTGCTTCATTAATTAAATCTTTTAAATCATGAAATTGTAGCATAATAAGAAAATAAATTGAAATTGAATGAATGAAGTAATACGTACTTGTGAAGTTCAATTGCTTTTTCCAATAAAAATATCTGGTCATGATCTCCCCAGACTATCAATACTTCCTGTATTGTAGATTAGGACATATACATTTATATTATTTCATATCAATTAATAATAATTTTTTTTTTATAATGAAAATTAAATACTAAAGTGTAAATTAATCAAAAAAAAAAAAAAAAAAATTAAATTAAATTAAAGAAAAAAAATATGTATACCTGAGGAAGGGGAGATATGGTTTGATCAGTGTCATCTTGTCCGAGTGTCAATCCTTTCGATAGTTCCAGTTTCTCTTTCCTGTTTTCTCTGTATAATTTCTGTGCCAATTTTACATGCAATAAACATTGTTTTATTTAGTGTAAATTAAGAAACCCCTGAACTTAGGTTAAATAACGAAAAAAAATCCTACCTATTTGTAATTATCAAAACCCCCGAGAGGTTTGTTTCCGTCTCGCACCAACCCCTTACAGTGTGACGTTTCACCATATTTAACAGCAGATTTAAATAGATTGTACACATTTTATGTTGAAAACCTCGATCAACAGTTAATCAAATGGTGATTTTGGTTATTACGGGTATGTGGAGGTGTTTTTTGTTATTTAGCATAAGTTCAGGGGTCACTCACGTTAATGAAATCATTGAGGAAGAAATCAGGAATGTATGGACGCCGGAAAACAGCCAAGCCGATCAACGCCCTCATTTGCACGGCGGTGCTTGGCAGCATGAAATCCTCAATATTCTTCATTTTCGCTCTATTCAACAGCTCCGAATTATCGCTCCGCCGCATGTTCACTCCGGAACTGGCGATCACCACCTTCTCCACCCTCTCCGGCCACATCGCCGCCATGCGATACGCCACAAATCCACCGTAGCTCGTCCCAACAACGGAGTACCTATGCAGATCGATGTGGAACGTAATTAACCACCGACGGTAATTAATAATTCTGAAAAAAAATTTAATTTAATTTCTAGGGTTCCTCCTCCTCCACCGCGCCTAATACCTGCTAATCCGGAGTTTTTCCAGAAGTTTCGCGACGGACGCCGCCTGAAAAACCTCCGATCGATCGGAGCCCTTGGTGAAGGAATCGCCGAAGAAAAGTAGATCGGGGATATAGACGTCGAATTCTCTGGCGAAGAAGGAGATCTGCGGCCGCCATTGCCAGACGCCGTGAGGACCGAATCCGTGAATCAGAACCAGCGGAGGTTTCGAAGTGGCGGCGGAGGGGCCCCAAAAGTGAAGGGTGGTGTCGCTATCAATGTCTATGGTCTGAGACGATAGGCCGGCGGCGGAGAGGGAGCGGCGTAGGAAGCTGCCATAGATTGACACGAAGCTCAGGCAGGAGTCGACCATTTCTGTTACACTGCGAACGGAAAATTAGGGACGTATTTATTTATTTATTTCTAATTTTGATCACTTATTATTTATTTATTATTATAATAATTAAATATTATTATTTTTGAGATATTTTAAATATAATTCCAGTATTTGATTATGTCATTTCTGGTGGTTTAATACCAACCGAATATATGGTTGAGATGTGGGAGTTGGACGAGATTTTGACTCATGAAAAAGTGTCCAAGTGTCATTATTCAAATAAACTAATCTCACATGGTTCTGGAAATTGAAGAATGGATTAGTTTAGAAGCTAATAAATATTTGCATTATATTAAAAAAAAAAAAATTAATAAATAAATATTTGCATTTGATAAGGCCTAAATGGCCACACAATATAAGGACTATGAATATGGGAATTTTATAGGTATATTGAGCCAAAATAATAGCTTCTTCCAGCTAATGGGCCTGAGTTTATATGTCCATATCCCTTTTGAAGAGAGAGGAACGCCAGATAATATATTGCCCAGAATAAGAGTCATGGTGTTTTATTTAAGAGTAAATTACAAACACACCCTGAGGTATGGTCAAATTACAAAAACACCCCTCTTGTTTGGATAATTACAACCACCCCCTCAACTCCTCAAATTTAGTGGAATTTTCGAGATTATATGTAATATTATCACTTTTGTACCCGTTTTATCCCATTCAAACTCTACATTATCAAGCAAGATGATCATAATATGTGATTTTTAGCTTGTATATATCAGTTTGTGGTGCATCGGAAACTGTATTTTTTTACGCAAAACGAGTACAAACTAGAGCACATTTCACGGAATTTAGATGACTATGTTGAATTTGGCACCATAAAGGTGGAGGTCTACGAAAAAATCATAGTTGAGGGGGGTAGATGTAATTATCCAAACAAGAGGGGGGTTTTTGTAATTTGATCATACCTCAGGGGGGTGTTTGTAATTTACCCTTTATTTAATTATATTGATATTAATTGATGACTGTTTAAACAGTTTCTAAGTTCATCTCCGTATTTATGTAAAAGCATTTCATAAATTACGTTTTATATTGTCTGAATTTAGATTAAAAATGTGAAAAAATAGAAAACAGTTTCGTCGCCTGAGAGATTCGAACTCTCGCGGGGAGACCCCATGTACTTAGCAGGCACACGCCTTAACCACTCGGCCAAAGCGACTTGATATACAATTATGGATAAATAACATTATATAACAAGTTATCTTTGCTTTGCTTTTCTTCCAGGAATCATCGGAAAGCAAATTGTGAAGTGATTGATGCTTTTTTGGGATTGAGATCGGAGATTTCATTTCTTCTGTAAAAAGAAAAAAAGTTGGGGAATCGATTACAATGGCGACGGTTCAGGCGGTTGTGGGGAGCTTAACGGCGAATGAACGGGAAATATTGACCGCCATCAACACCGGCGCCTCCAGCCTCTCGTTCGTCGGCTCCGGCTTCATAGTCCTTTGCTACTTACTCTTCAAAGAACTCCGCAAGTTCTCCTTCAAGCTCGTCTTCTTCCTCGCTCTCTCCGTCAGTATTTATTTGCTAACATTTACTTTTTTTTGCTGTAACTTTTGATCCTGTTCTTTTTTCCCTAATAATTAGGTTAGGTTAGGTCGGGTAATTAATTTACGTTAAAGTCACTCGCTAGGTCATAGTTGGTAATTTTCTGTTTGCTTTGGAGAAATTGTCGATTATCATTTGAAATTGAAGTTTTGAGTTGCCTTATAGCTGAAACATTTGTCAGCAAATATGAAATAATTTGAATATTGATATCAATTTTTTTTCTCCCCAAGTACTTTGTGCATTAAATGGAACCCTAAACGGTTTAATTAACTTAATAAATAGGACTTATAAATGCCTCAAGACTATAACTCTGTTTGTAAATTGTTCGGCATGACTTCTGGAAATTCGTATGAGTTTTTCGATGTTCTATGTTCGTCTTAATTTTTCTCTTTGATTTTGTTGTCTATGAGTTGCGGATCGTATAAATAAGTATTTTATTTCTGTTGCAGGACATGTTGTGCAGTTTCTTCGGCATTATTGGGTATGGGTTTGTTTGTCTGGAAGTCGGATACTTGTAGCTATCTTTACACTATGGAGAACTGCTTATTCTCACTTTTTTTAAGTTAAAAATTGATTGTGTTTTGTTGCAGGGATCCTTCAAAAGGATACTTTTGTTATGCTCAGGGATATACGACACATTTTTTCTGCGTTGCTTCGTTTCTGTGGACAACGACAATTGCTTTCACTCTTCACCGAACAGTTGTCAGACATAAAACGGATGTGGAGGATTTAGAGCCGATGTTTCATTTGTATGTCTGGGGTACGATTTTTGTATTTATGCAGTTTCATTTCGATAGAGGAACTTTATAATTTTTCATTATTGGCTCGGCTTAAGTGGAGTGTAAACGAATTTTGCAGGAACTTCGGTCGTTATGACAGTTCTACGCTCTATTGGCAATGACCATGGTCATATAAGCCGTATGGGTGCATGGTGTTGGGCACAAACGTCCCGTACAGGAAAGGCAAGTAAATAAGAGGCTTTACTGTTTACATTCGTGCAAATTTAGAAATCTTCTGGTTGATATTAGATACCTTTCTGTTGCATATCTGTACTTTCGTTGTTATTCAATTTATAGTCTCTTGCGTATATCTGGACACTGTGCTGAAACCATTAACGAGTAAACATGAAACCGAGGTAGTCGGAGTTATCTTCTTATTGCTACTAAAACAGTTGATTTAGTTTAATTCATTCTTGATCATTTTTCCGACCCCAGTCTGCACTTGTTCTCAAATTACCATTTCCGGGACGTGAAATATTACTTATATGATTAATAGGAACATATGTTTAACATGTTGACTGATGAAACTGACTCAAGGCTTGATATTTTATTTTTTCGTCATCAAGTACATGAAAGTCTCATAGCTAAGAATCGGTTATCTGATCTCATAGTAAATTTCATGTATAAGAATTCAGTACATTTTATGGTAAACGGTGACTAGTCTTAAGATGATATTCTCGTAGTGTTTTTTATCCTCGTAAAATATTTAAATATGCAATTCGTATTTTATTCGCGCAGGCGGTTCACTTCATAACATTCTACGCGCCTCTGTGGGGTGCAATTCTTTTCAACGGCGTCACGTATTTTCAAGTGATACGCATGTTAAACAATGCCACTCGTGTATGTTACCATCTGGACATCTCTTATTCCCATGCATTATTTCTGAGCTTGTGGGATTTATGAATGAGGCATATCAAAGTATGTTGTCTTAGTTTGGCGGATTAGATCCACGTTGATGCGTAACCTGTTTTTCCAGATGGCAGTTGGAATGTCAGAGCGTGCGTACCAGTCAGATTCACGGCCAGATATGAAGGTAAGGTTTCTTCTCTGTCCATTTCAACGGCCATTCAAATTCTACTGTTTCTGGTTCATAGTTATTGTAATATCGTTGCTATTTCTAGCTCTTGAAAACGTGGCTTTTATTTTATTTTTATTTTATTTTAGATGAACTCTCACAGTAAGGCCCCGTTTGCTTGCCAAGATAAGCCATGATTAACTAAATAGTTGGACTTAATTTGATGTTTGGTATCCTCAATAAATTGCCGGGTCGACCCGCCAAAATTATGTAATCATGGCTTTCTTGCCTTATCTTGCCTTTTAGGGTACTTTTTATGTTGGACGTCGAGAGGTCCGATAAAATGATTGGGTTTCATTAGATTATTTAATCTTATCTTGGCAACCAAACGAGGCCTAAGAAGATGACTTTTACTAACCTAATTCCATAGTGCACAGTGCGAGGACATTGATTTTTGTTCTTTATTTTCTTCATTTCCTTGACAGGCCCTGAATCGATGGGGTTACTATCCACTCATTCTGATTGGGTCGTGGTTTTTTGGCACAATCAACCGTATGCATGACTTCATTGAACCAGGTCATAGAATCTTTTGGCTCTCTGTTCTTGATGTTGGCATGGCTGCACTTATGGTTAGTTTTTGCGTTACGTTAAGCCCTTTTTTTACCCCGAGATTCTGTTATCTTCTTCTAAAATGTTTGACTTTCTACATCTTGTGCTTGTTTAAGGGCCTCTTCAACTCAATAGCATATGGTCTCAACACTTCAGTTCGGAGGGCCATTTACGAAAGATTGGATCTGTAAGTCAATTTATCTTTTGTTTGTTACTTTTTATATTCCTCCGAAATCTGTATATCTCTGATTTTGACAAATATTATGCAATTTTTTTAGGTTACCAGAAAGGTTAAGAAGATGGTTTCCGAAGAATTTGAGGCCAAGAGGACAGCAGCAGGACAGTGAACTTGTTTCATTGAAAACTGGGGACCAGCGGTAGCTAGCTAGCAAATGTGGTGTTCCTTTTATGTGCACATAATTAAAGTTAAGATTCTATTATTTTTGCTGATTATAGCTGGCCAAGAATTAGAGAAGAATCGCGTTTTTTTTGCATTCTACCAATAGCGAGAATCATTTATTAGTGATCAGAATGTTGCAGTTGACGAACTAGTGCAATTATCCCAATACGCTAAACAATTTTTGAATTGTTACGTGTGTAGCTTCGACTAAATTTGTCCGTGAAATATTGGTGATATTCGTCTGTACCTTTGCTTGAAGAATTTTACTAAACCAAATCCCGTACGTATGGATTGGTGTTCTTGCGGTTTCTAAATTCGATTTTATTTTTGTTAGTATAGCCTTAGAAACAGTCATTACAATACACTAGCCCAAAATCTTTGATGCTAAATTCGACAAAATTCCATGGCGTCTTTAGTCAATAATCAAGAAGATGCTTTTCCTCGCCACAAAAGAAGAAGAAAAAAAAACGAGGGTTTGTGTTTAAGACTTTGGCGAAGGATGAACAATTCATAACATCGTTTTAACATTGTTGTTTCGATGCTAACGCGTAAGCAGCAACTACTGAGTCACTTAATTCTCACAACGATATTTAGTAATTATAATCATCAAAACTAATCAATTCATCTCACTTTTATTTTTTCAAGAATTCAGAGCAGAGAAGCAGCTTTCGGATCGAACCATACACCTCTTCCTCACGGGGCTGGACCGAGGCGAATCCAAGCTCCTCAGAAGCAACTGTTTAACCGCAGAAATCAATTCTTGAGTGGGATTTTTCGGTGGGATTAATAATAAATTGTTGAATTTCTTGCAGAAATTCATGTGCTGAATCAAAGCCTGCTCTTTATCGATCACGTCATCTGTTCTCCTCTGCACCTCTTCCTTCACCGCCTCCGAACAAAGCCCGCAAATCCAACGGCCCGAATAACGGTCACGCACGCGCTTTATGTATTCCTCCGTGCACTCCTCTGTCAGTCCGCAACACTCGCATTTAGCAAACGCGAGATTCGTTCCCTTCAGAATAGCTTGCTTCGCTAGCTCCATTTGTCTGACCTGGCAAGAAAAGAAAAATAAAGAATGTGTAGATGTTTCTCTGTGTTTGTGTCTGTGAAATTGCAGGGTTAGTTACATATATATATATACCACATGCAAATATACATACACATAGGAATATATTATTTTATTTTTCTGAATCTGGTTTCCTACTGAGTAATGTGGACAGAAAATGCCCTCAACGATGATTGGCGCTGAGCCACTGTAATTTTTCGTTTCATTAAGGTACAGTAAGTATTTGTTTAGGGCCACGTACTTCATATTTCAATGGTGTGTGGAGGAGCTATGATCTTTACAGTTTTTTACCTAACTTTTTCATTTAAAATAAAAAAGAAAAACAGATTGAAGGAAGTGAGTGGCAGTGCCAGCTGTGATGGGGATGGAAACAAATATGATATGCGACAATGTAAAAAAGCAAGCCCACATGTTTTGGGCCTTGGTGGGGTCACTCTTGTTACTAATACTTCCAAGCTGTGTTTCACCGTCTGCTAGTTGGTGTTATACGCTGCCATTTCGCACGTGTGTTGCCTTCCCCCCTCGAAAAGCTTAACCACGTAAATTATTATGCCGTGTTTGCAAGAGTTTATTTAAAACCAGAAGTTATTCTATGCAAACATAATGGTCAATTCTCTTGTCCAAACTCCTAACTTCATCACATTTGAACTCTTTCGTGTTTCCCTTACTCAGAGATGAATCTCACTCGTTTATCGAATAACAGAGGACTGATAAATCAAGCAGAATTTCAAACTATATATATGGAAAATAAGCGTTGTCTCTAAAGCAGATTGCAAGAAAGGAACGACCATCGTCACAACCAAACGGTTGTGTAGCCGGAAAATGTCAAGATGCATTCAATGCGGAGGTACAATCGAGAGAGAGAGAGAGAGAATATTAAAAATTATGGTTTGAGAGAAATGCGTAGGTAAAATACATCGAGTGAACGTTCTGGATCAATCGATGAAAATCAATGGGCAACATGAAGAATCTAGAGCCTTCCAAAAGGTTTGACCGGATCTGAGTAGGCTTAAATGTTGGACTTCTGAATAGTTGAGCCGCCTCAAGAGAATTTGGATTAACGGACTGAATAAATAATTCAGTTGGGTCCAAAATCAAACAACAAGTCTAGACTGCTGGTAGAAAAATAACTTAAAACAACTTGAGAAACAATAACGAAAATTGATTTCGCAAACATATTATAAAACTTTTGCAAGCACCACCTTAGTAAACTCATCAAAACAAAATCTGATACATGGTGTTGAACATCACACATTTAATTTACTAAATCTGTATTTGGGATACATTTGATAAAAACAACGTTGAATTGAAGCAACTTCAAAAGTACAATTAGGGGTAACACATAATTTACTCCTAATATTATAATTTACATATTTCAAGGGATCATATTATAATATTCACAAAACCTGAAAATCTTGCACCAATTCATGTAAGCTTCATTGTTTTATTCTCTCTCTACTATAGTTGACTTAGACTATAATAGGAATTGTGAAAGCCCAATTCCCCCTTAGCCCAACATAAGATTTTAATTATTTATTACAATATAATATTTTGAATTATTAAGGATGATATTAAATCAAATTAAAAAATAAAAATATGGTTGAAATAGTAAATTTATGGCAGGTGAGGATCACTACTACTCATATGGAAAATAATTTGGCACATATATTTCGATTACTAACAATGTCTCACCATACTTACAGAGTTAGTCAAATAATCATTATTTTTAAATTAATAATACTTGGCGTTTTGACATTTATACTAAATAATAATACAATATTATCAACTAATTATTATTTAATGTACCATATGATGTAATCCACTCAAATATGCCAAATATATATATATATATATATATTATATATATATACAAATAAAAGAAAACAAATTAAATATTGTGGTCTAAAATCTTAAATGTTTATAAGAAAATAAATATTATAAACCCTAAAAAAGAAATAGAGAAATAATAAAGGGGTAAAATGGGAAAAACGAAAAAGGAAGGGAAGAGATAGAGATAGAAAGATTAGACGGAAGAAAAAAAGATACAAGCCAACCCAACCCCTGGTTCAGTTCAGAACCCCAGGAACCGAAAAATACCATAAGAATTTTTTTTGTGTTCTCTGGATTTTGAGATATACTGATATACAAATCACTCGCTGTATTTTTCTATTTCTAAATTATTGTAGTATTTTTTTTAGTTTTGAATCTCCTGAAAATATAATCGCTGTTTTGATATGGTTATGGATGCGTTTGACATGGTTGCTTTCACTTCAGAGCTTCGCGAAGGTAGTACTCTTATTACCTAGATCTGGTTTTTTTGATTTTTAATTAATTTCTGGTTTTGATTTTTGAGAGATCTATTGTGATAGGTTTTGTGGCTGAAGTTCGGGGTTTGTGTTTTACATCCTGCTGTTTTATTGGCTTGATCTTTGTTTTGTATTGAGTTGCGGATGTTTTATAATTTTGGTTGATTTTTTTTAGAATAATTTGGTGATAGGTTACTGTTGTTTCTGTACTGACTGTTGTTTGGATAGTAACTGCTGATTATGACTGTTTTTCTTTTATTAAGCTGTTGAATTTTTGTTGTTGATCTTTCGTTGGTTTATGTTTTTTGTAAGAGAGATTTTGGGTTTTGGTTGTTGTAGTTATCCGTGGTTTTTGTATGGTCTCTCGTGTGGATTTGATATGGTGATGTTAATTATTATGATTATGGGCATTCAATTAACCAAATTCTCGTGCGCAAACTAAATATTTGGGTAAAATTATAAAATTATGTTGTCTGTTGATATGATTATGAATTTCTGGATTTCTTTACCAGGACATGGTTATTTTCCTCTAATTGTTGTATGTTCATAGTTCGACAATTGTTCATTGCATCTGAGTCTGTATTATGCGTATCATCAAATCATTAAATTAAACCTATTATTTTCATTAGCGTCTATGTTTATTGGTTTTCTCGTTTTTCTTCAATGGTTTAGCATACGGTTTGGTCATTGTATGCTAATAACGGGTTGAATTGCGAACTTTATCCAACATTCACACTTCTTACTCGGAAGACTTCATTCATATGCAGGATTTGGTTGACTCATATTCAATACCACGCTTGCAGTTACTCTGTCGAAAGATTTCGTTTAGTGTAGACCTATTTTGTTAAATATTTCGAAGCCCCAAAGGTAAAAGAAAAAAACATAAGAAATGTACTTGTCGGGCACCGGAGCTTCATCCGTCGACCGAAAGCTAAGTGCTCCAAAACCATCATTGAATCCGAATGCTACAGAATTTGTTCCTTTCGCTCTCAGATCACCCGCATCAGTCATTAGCAGTCCAGGTGCACCCTCGAAATCTGCCGCTGCCTCAGGGAAAGGTATATTAGATCGATTAGAGTCGTCGGTTTCAAACAATTCTGATGACGAAGCCCAGCAGTACTGGCAGCACCAGCTCCCCGATGACATCACTCCCGACTTTAAGCTCATGGGAATGGACGATTCTCAAGGGATCAATGACCTATCATTTTCAAGCTTATCGTTGACCGATACTAATGAGGGTTCACGATATTCTTCTTCGATAGGAAGCGGTTTTATGGCGGCAGAGCAGCAGCTAGGATTATCTCCTCGCCTTGTTAATGGCAATAATAATGCTGAAAAACTTAGATACTCTGCCTCATCCTATGGTGATTATCCGTCGCCTACGGGTTTTCATCCTTCACTCTCTAAACCTTGGGAACATCAAATTGTGAGCAATGATCAGCATCTTTCAGGAGGACATGATAGTGGGAATCCAGGACATACTTTCCTAGCTGACATGTCGGATGAGCAATTATTGATGGACAATCAAGATGTGAGCCCGCTTGAGTTTTTGTCTTCACAGTTTCCTGGCTTTGCAGCTGAAAGTCTTGCTGAGGTGTATTTTGCCAACGGTGGCGATTTGAACTTGACAGTTGAAATGCTTACTCAGCTTGAGGTATGCGACTTTGTCAGCGTTGATAACTTCTGATCTATTGTCGTGTCAAATTTGAAATGCGTTCTATAAATTGTAACAATTGAATTTTGACTTAATCAACTGATCTAGCCCACAGGGTGGATAAATCTAAGTGAGACAGATATGCCTTGAATAAAAGCATTTTGTGCTGCTTGATTTCATTGATCATGCTGCAACTTGTATTTGAAATCAGAGAATAGGAAATTGTTATTCATTTTGTTTTATAGGTGTTGGACTAAATATTTATTTGAGTGAAGAATGTAAAATGTGTATGATTGTTTTAAGATTTGCTCATCTACTTAAGTTCCTTATTCTTCTGTTCTGGTATTATATACACCTGACATGTAGCTATACACATTGTTGGTTGTAATGTGAAAAGTGTAATCTATCTAACTAACATTCAGGTACTATTTTTTTTGTCCAATACTGATGTCAGTTTCTCTAGTTTGGCGAAAATGTTGAACCGTGTATTACTACTGTATCATTAACTTTATGCTCGGGTTTTGGACTACCTATGCATTGTCATTAACTACAGGCTAAGAATGGTTCTCTCACACTGTTGTAGCATAGAATGTATAATCTATGATCCCTGTAGTTGTTACCCTTAAGGTTTGAAATAAAACAATTTGTTTGTACTTCTATGTGGATTCCTGTTATTAAGTTAGTTTATCTGTGAGGAAGTTAGTGAGATGGAACATTGATAAACTGTAGATGAAAACTTATGCTGCCAATACTTGGTCCATAAGACAGACAAGTCTGTAAACCGCACATTTTGACCAAATTGTCAACAAATTGCTTTTGAAGAGGCAATTTTTCATCTAATTGTTTTGTTATTCTTTGTTACTAATGCACAGATATTCTGGCATTTTGCTTTCCTATTTGTAATTAACGGTACACTGCACTTGCGAGTGCAGCTTCAGGTGGATGGAGGTTTAAGTCAGACTCTGAATTCAAAAGCCTTGTCTGCTCCAAACCTTAATGCAATGGATTTTCCTGCTCTTTCTGTGCGAGATGGTCAAAATGATTTGGCAAATGGTAGTCCATATCGGTCTTCAGAAAAGCAAGGCCCATTATTCAGATCCAACTCATTTGTTCCATCAAGAGGTGCTGTCGATTTTGCCTCAGCTGTAAGAAAAATGGCATCTCAAGATTCTAGCATCTGGAAGTATGACAGAAACGGTTCCTCAGACACAACCATTGGATCAAGTAGAAGCTCGCAAGTCCTCGCAAGTTCATATAACAGTGGCCAGGGCAGGAGTATCTATGGTGATAGGCTGCAAAGCAGAGGTTCAGGGCCCGCATCTCCTATCTGGCTTGAAACTGGAGAAGCAGTCGGTAATAATTTTAGGCAATATGTTTAACTTGCTCAGTTGAATTTTAATTACAGGAAAATGTTTTATGCGAGTATATATGCTTTAACCTTGTTGAGCTGGCAGCAAATATGTATTCTGAAATGCGGGAGGAAGCTCGAGATCATGCACGAGTACGTAATGCGTACTTTGAGCAGGTATGTGTATAATATCAAGATGGTTGAATATAGAATGAAAAAAAGACACTCAGAAGTTTTCTTTTTGTACTCGTTTACTTAGATAAATGAATGCCAACTAATTTTCCTTCTATCTGTGTGGATTGGGGCAGACAGCAGGGCAGACAGTTTCGATTTTGATTATGTGAAACTCTAGACATCTACCACATTCAAAGAATTTGGGTTGTGTAAAGTTGTTGTGGAATGTGGAGTTGTGTAGTCTATTTTCCTCCTTTACCCCACTAGAAAGTTGTTTTCACTTCCCTGCTGTGAACATCAAGTGAGATTATCGTTAGTTGTTGCAGAAGATTTGTGTGATTTATCAGGGCACATTTAGTACGGAGAAGTGAAGCAATTTAACTAGCTAATTTTCTGTCTGTCTGTCGCCCACTCTCTCTTTTTGTGCATCCAAATTAAGCCAATGTGGTATATTTATCAGATAAAATGAAGAGACCGAACTCATGTGACTAGGGAATAACAAGATCATACCATCAGAAGTTATTAAAAAAATAAAAAATAGCTCAGTTCTGTGCTTCCCTTGTTTGATATTTGTCTGAAATATTTGTGAGATTAGGCACGACAGGCATATCTAATCGGCAACAAAGCCTTAGCCAAGGAGTTGAGCATTAAAGGACAATTGCACAACATGCAGATGAAAGCAGCTCATGGAAAGGCACAAGAAACTATTTACCGTCAGAGGTTTGTTTTTATTCATGCTTAGAAAAACGAAATGTTCTCCTCTCCTTAGCAATTTGAAATATCGAAAAAAATAAAGTCTGAAGATGATGAGATGATGATCTTGTTCCCTTGGCTGATTTTGCTTCTACTGTGCCATAACTTTTACGACTTTGTCCCGTTTTTTGTAGTTCATTGGTCTGAATTTTGGTAATGTTTGCAGGAATTCAGACATTCAGACTAACGGGAGAGAGAGAATGATAGACCTGCATGGTCTACACGTCAGCGAAGCTATTCACGTGCTGAAGCGTGAGCTGGCGGTGATAAAAAATGCAGCAAGGTCAATGGACCAACGCCTGCTAGTTTACATATGTGTCGGGACAGGTCATCACACGAGGGGTTCAAGGACGCCAGCTAGACTCCCGACAGCTGTCCAGCGATACCTGCTAGAGGACGAGGGTCTTGACTTCACTGAACCACAACCAGGGCTCCTTCGAGTTTTGATATACTGAAATCAGCAAGGTATAGGAGATTTTTTGGGGAAAAAAAATGAAAAAAAATGATGAATCTGTTGTATCTGTAAATGGGGGAAAAAGATGTAGGATAATTCTGCAGAAGTTAAGTTGCGAAAGAACAAAAAAAAAATAAAAAATGAAAGGATGATATATAATGGACGAGAAAAAGGCGGATATCTGTACCGTAACTTTGTAGTTGGCTGAAGTCTAGAATATGTTTTTGTAGCTGGTCGTTGATTTTCTTCGACCTCCTTTTGTTATTCTTGTACCCTTTTTTTTTTGGTTACATTTTTTTTAAATATTTAGATGTAACTAATATAATTCTTTTTCGTGATAGCACAAATTTCTCCACGTTGTTGGAGTATTCTCAATTTTCATGGCGAGAAGTTACTGGTCTTTATTTTTAGGTAGTCTTTTGATGTTTTGGGTTTTAAAGGGTGAAACTCTTGGGTGCAATACGCTCCCAATTCATCGGAAATGTGTTCTTAATTAACACAAACAAATGTTCATTTGAGTATGCAGATTTAAGTGGATCTTTACTACTCTATTTGAGTATAGCGCGCATGTTTTAAATCAATGATAAAATTTGATCGTCAAATTTGTGTAATCCGGTTAAGTCGTTCATATACCCATGGTATATAGAATTGGTACATTTTTTCTGTGAAGATGAACGGTTGATACTATATCTAGTGCATTGCATCGAATGTATCATCTGAAAGACTACCAAATACCAATGATAAAAGTCATACAGAAGTCAGAACACCCAATTATAAACTTGTGGTCTCGATCAATCATGGTTTATTCTACGCCATACTCGATAAACTTCAATAGGTAACATCCTACAATTCATGTGTATATATTCGAACGTATTTTGCACACATTCACATGTGTATAAGAGTGTGATTATGTGGAAATCAGATGTGAAGAATTACCCGGTGTATATTTCGCCATGTAACATCACATTCTCTGTATTTCACAAACTTCTTTCGTCCGCAAACATGATTTCAAAAGCACTAAAATAAGTCAGCGACAACACAAAATTCCGCACTTGAAATAAGAAAAATAATGTGAATTTGCATTACATTTCAGTGAAAATGTGGCCACATTTAAAAAATCATCTCAGCTTGGATTTTGAAGAGCTTTTGAGAGGCCTTGCAATGGGCTGAGCTGGGGCGCTTCTCGCAACCTTATTAAGATCGTATTTCACCGAGAACAAAGCGCAAACCAAGGCTAACAACATCGTAGGGTAGACGAACACAGCATTTTCTGGATCGGTGTTTACTGGCTTTCCAAGAATACCCTCCTTCACAAGACCCCATATAACTAAAAGAGTTCCAAACATACTCATTCTCCCTGGTTTTAATATACCAATCAACGAACCAGCCACACAGAAGTAACTTCCAGCAAGAACCTGTTCAACACAGTTCGAAACAACAAATTTCATGACAAACCACACAACGGAAGAGAAACGAGGCAACAAAATATATTTATTAACAGTTTAACGACTCGAAAAATGGAGAATATAGAAGGCGAAAAAACGAACCTCTAAGCGTTGTAGGTCAGTTACTGCAGAAGCTTCCTTTATGTCGGTCAAGTTGTAGATGCTTAGCAGATCGTTCCACTTCGGCGCAGTCATGTTAGCGACGAGGCCATTTATAACTGCTCCAGGGTAAAGAAGTCCTTTCACCACTGGCAGAGGAAATATATTGCTCGAAATCAATTGTGAAGATGTGACCTGAAGAGGGGTTGTGCATGTTCCAGATCTACACTGAACCCTGACAAAAATACGGAAAAAATCGGCAGCAGAAAAACCCAATCCGTTATGATAAGTTGATATATCCTAGCTTTAGGCTATGGCTAATCATCGTATCGATAGAGCAGAGAACAAAATTCGACTTTTTCTCCTCTCTCTGTAAAATTCGTCGGATTAAGAAATGGAATTCAGTAGCTTTCGGCTACGGCTAATCGTGAATAAAATTCATACAGCAGCAAGAGTAAGAGTTTTATGTTTTAACTTAAGATTAGATCTGCAGCAATTTACTTCAATCATCAAACATCATACATCGGTTACAATTTCATTAAGATAATCATCTTAGCATCATAACTATGTCGAAAACTTCATCCATGAAAACCTAAATTATCTTCGACCATCATCAATGTGTTTTCGACTTCATTAAATAATGGGAGTGAAAATCATCAAAATCAATTTTGATCTCTAAAAAATCAACATTTATTTCAACTTCATTACCAATAACTCATCTCATTTGCAAGTCAGATCTTAGTTCTACAATGGTTATAAGTAATGATTTTCTTAGATAGCTATACAAAATACAATTGGCTTAGATCTCAATACTATTAAAGGAAACCCAATAATTTCTTTCCAATTGAAACTGACAAAAAAAAAAAAAAAAAAAAAAAACCCCAAAGCTTAAAATTGGGATCGTCTTCAAAATTTCATCGCAGGCAAAGTCCAGGCGAGATGTTTAAGCATGGAAGAAATCAGGTAAGAAAAAACCCACGCGCAATTGCAAATTGAAACTAATAGTTTAATTAAATGCAAATACAGATTCAACATGTTTATACAAATGGGTACCTGAAAAGGGGAACCTGAAGAACGATAAGGAGAAAGTATATTCGAGAAGCGTATTTTGATAGTCTGCTCCACTTCCCCTTTGACGAAATTGTCGTCTTCGTCGTGGTGGAAGTATTCGCCATTGTAGACTGTGGAGCTGCGTGTGCTGTGTGTGTGAGAGAGGAGAGAGAGAGAGAGAGAGAGAGGAGAGAGAAGTGAGCGTGGTTCCTTTGGACTGTCACAAAATAAGAAATTGAATTACGGAATGCGACTTTAACTGAAATTGAAGGAAAAGCGTGTTTGCTATAAAACGGAAAGACGCTGTTTTGAATATAAAGCTGATATTTTTATGAGATAGAAAAATATAATCAGAAAGAGAGAGAAATGGCGTCGACAACAACTCTTCGGATATCCATTACACTCTCCAGCAAAGAACCCTTCTCTGCGGCGAAACCCACCAGAACTTTAACCAATTATTTCCTTCCACGTCAGCATCCGCCGCGCTCCCTCGGTATCAGCTTCTCTAGCCGCCGCCGGGAGAAGTCCACCGCCCCTCCTGTCACTTCCAAGAAGACTAACAAGGTATCGATATATATATTTTTTATGAACTGGAATTATTTGGTGTGAAATTAAAATAAAATAAAATAAATCATACCATTGTTGTTAAGATGATTTTGTGGAATTGTGTAATTTTATTGTAGTAATTTACTAATTTAGGTTTGAGTTTTCTGTTAGTGGTGGCAGTGTATTTTGAACTATTGTATCAAGAAATGGTTTTGTGATTAGAATAATAATTTGCCGATGTTGTGTTTTGCAGATTTGATGAGCTTTATTTTGTCTGTGCAGAAAAAACCCACCCCAAAAACTGTGGGGGAAAATGAAAATGAAAATGAAAATGTAGACGAAGATGCTTTCGAGGCGCTTTTCCTTATGCTTGAAGAAGATTTAAAGAACGACGAATTAAACGGTAATGATGAAATAAGTGAGGAAGAGCTTGCGAAGCTCGAGCAAGAACTAGCCGAGGCTTTAGAGGATGATGAATTGTTTGGGGCTTTTCAATCTATTACCAATAACGAAGAAGACGCAGACGAGGATGATGGCGTGGATGGTGATGTAGATGGATCTGAAGTTGATGATGAGTTTGAAGATGAAGAAGAGGAGGAAAAGCCGATTAAGCTTAAAAATTGGCAAATGAGGAGGCTAGCTTATGCTTTGAAAACGGGTCGTCGGAAAACTAGCGTGAGTCTTGCTCTACTAATACCGTTTATGGCATGTTTAATTTGTGGTATTTTGGTTGGATGTATTGTATTTTATCGACTGTGTAATGCCATGTTTACTTCATTACATGGGAGTCGAATTTTAAATCTTTGGACAGCTATGTTAATTATTACCGACTTTTTTCGTTGTAGATAAAAAGTCTTGCTGCAGAGCTATGCCTTGATAGAGCAGTGGTTCTGAAATTACTAAGAGACCCTCCTCCAAATCTTGTTATGTTGAGTGCTAGTTTGCCCGATAAACCTGCTCCGACAATTGTGGACCCTGTTGAAGAAGTCGTGGAAACTGTCCAGGTGGACACGGTGACGACAGATGCTGCAAAGACTGAGGGGAGTAAGGTCAAAGTGCCGGTTCACGTCATGCAAAGCAATTGGTCTGCTCGAAAGAGGCTCAAGAAAGTACAAGTCGAAACTCTCGAACAAGTTTATAGACGATCAAAGCGCCCAACTGTGAGTATATTATATATTTCAAGAATCTATTTCAATGAATAAGTTCAATATACTTAGGTAGTTGTTGAGTCGGTTATTTGATTGTCTCGTGAGAAAGTAAAACGGGGCAGTACCGAATTACTCTTTTGTTTGTTTTCTTGAACATTTATTTAATTTAGTTATACGGAATCTGTTTTATTGATCGTCTGTTTTTATTTGGAAAATGAATGCAGAATGCGATGATTAGCAGCATAGTTCATGTGACAAATTTGCCAAAGAAAAAAGTCGTGAAATGGTTCGAAGATAAACGAGAGGAAGAAGGTGTGCCTGAGCATCGTGTCCCATATCAACGGTCTGAACCCGAACCCGAGCCCTCCGTCTTCACTAGCTAAAAGTCTAAAACACCCCTTGTTCTTTTCCGATTATTTCTTGTTGAGACGATTTAAATTTCTTCTCTTTGTAGCTTTTTCGTATGTAGTTGCAGAGTAATTTGCATGTTCTTCTCGAAATATATTATGGGAGAATTGAACAAATTAATTTTGAACTATGATCTTATTTATTTTTTTACTTTTTTCTGGCCAAGAAGTTGTGATCATCAGATTGCCCTCAAATGGGCTAAAATTCATTATAAATGTACCTAAATGAAATTTATCAAAACTTAGAGGGCTAAAAGGAAATATCTCATACTTAAAGGGTGACAAAAGGAATTTGACCAAAAGAAATTAACGTAAATTAATACTTTATCCCATAGGCAGCTTATCCAGCAGGTACTGAGCGTGGTCCCGATCCACAACAGCTACATCCTGACCGTCGATCACATTCCAATCCAAAGGCTAATATTAAACCACGATCCAAATCCACCCACCTTTGATTAATCCAAAACGTTATGGCTCAAAACACGGCCACGCTCATCATTCCTACGCCGTCGATCAAATTCAATCCAACGGTTACTGTACCATCACAGCATCTTCCCTTTTTTTTTACCCTCTGCTTTACTGTAACATTAACGTCCCGCTCTTTTTTTTTCTCACCTACTCTCTCTCTCTACACCATTTTTTTTCTCTCTTCTTGCAACTTAGGACATTCTTTTTTCTTGTCTTTTTTTTTTAATAAAAAAAATTAAAAGCAGAAATGCAAGATCAAGCGACAAGTTCTATGGCGGCCAGCTCTTTGCCTTCTAGTAGTGAGCGATCTTCGAGCTCTGCCCTTAATCTTGAAGTCAAAGAAGGTATCTTTCTAATCTTTTTTTTTTTAGCTTATTTTCTGCGATGGGTTCTTTTGGAAATTAAATTTCATTTTCTGTTTGAACTAATTTTTTTAATGTATATTCTGCATAATTAGGCGGGTTCCAATGGTGCCCCTGTGATTTTTTTTAGTGGGTCTGTGTATTTTCGGTTAAAAATTGAATCTTTCTTTGCAGCATTAGCAAAAGATTAAGGATCTTCTTTTTAGGGTAATTAATCAGCTGGGTGTTAATCAGATTCGTGCAGTTCAAGATTAAGCTAATACAATGTTAATTCAGAGGCTTCTGTGTTTATGACTGTGTTTGAGTTCGTGAATTTAGATTAGTGGATTTTTTTTTTTTTGGGTGAAATTTGTATGTTAATGTATTGAATAATGTGAGATTTCTTTATTTGGATTCGGCGTTTGTTTTCTTCGAAATCTGGAGAGCTGGCGTTAAAATTAGGGATCTAATTATGGATCATTTTACGACTCATATGATATAATATTAAAAAAAAAAAGAAAACTCATATTGAACTTGGCAAAGGTATGGAGAGTGATGATGAGATAAGAAGAGTGCCGGAGATTGGAGGTGAGGCGACCGGTCCCACAACTTCGGGCCGTAACGGCGGCTCCACTGCAGGTACCGCCCAGCCATCCTCCGGCAGTACAAAGAAGAGAGGGAGAAGCCCGGCGGACAAAGAAAACAAAAGGTTAAAAAGGTAATTATTATGGTTAGGCCTATCCTTATTCAATCATATCCAGCCACATCATCACTCGGTCCACTAATATTCTTTTTGGGTCCCCTCACCAAATACATGTTGATGGATGTTGAAAATGGACGTGTCGTGAAGTTTGTTAGGACATTTTGTTGTCTAGGTAGTTATCTTTCACCGCCATTACATTTCGAGTAGTTTGTTAGGAACTTGTGACATTTTTGTTTATGTGGTATATCTTTTAGGGTCATTTTTGTAATTGCGCGTTTTGCGTTTTTTTTTTTTTTGTTGATTAAGGTTGTTGAGGAATAGAGTTTCGGCACAGCAAGCAAGGGAGAGGAAGAAGGCTTATTTGACGGATTTGGAGGTGAGGGTTAAAGAGTTGGAAACCAGTAATGCTGAGCTGGAAGAAAGGCTTTCCACTATGCAAAACGAGAACCAAATGCTCCGACAGGTAATAATTTTCCGATGTTTGTTTTCTCGTACATGTTTGTCAAGAAAAAAACGTTAAAAGTCCGTAAGTGGGAAATTAATCATCTTGAGCTTCGAGTCCGTTATCGCAAAGTGAGATCCTTTGACGGGTAAAAATTGTTTTTGCTAATCTGTCATTAGTTGATAGTAATCTTAGCCGAATGTCGTTTTACCCTTTTGGCAATAGTAGTGGAATGGATAAATTTTGTACGTATTTTTCGGTGCGAACTATGATGCAAGAGAACTAAGGATCGATTGTGAATGAACAACTTAGAGAGAAACACTAAAGTTCATTTTTTTCTACAAATAATCGAATATTTGCATTCGTTTACTTCATACGTGTATAATCCATGTTTGTCTCTTATATTCGGTTATGATTTGCAGATACTGAAGAACACAACTGCAGGCTTACAAGAGGGGAGAAAATAGGTATAAATATTGTCATTCAAGTTCGGAGATTAAAAGGGAGAGAAGAAACAACGAGTACACACGTCGATGTGGTTTTGCGGATCTTCATAAATACAACCTGAGATGAAGCTTATATATATATATACAGAGAAGATAAATCAAGATTATGTATTAGGATAAATCAAAATTGTCTTGGAATGGAGTAGTTGGTTACACTATGTAGTATTGTTGTCTGATGAAAGACAGTGTTTGTGATAGTTAGAGTGAAAAGTGACGCATCATCTTTCCATGTATAATTCAAGAATAAATAAAAAATGTGTTCTTGATGTACTACTACTATATAAAAAGCACCATCGGTTAAAATTTCACATCTAATTAGTATTATTAAATTCAAATTTCGGTTTTGATAATTAGTTAAGCAGCAATAATTGACCTGTGGCTGGATTTATTTAGTCATCTATTTCTTAATTATTTTGTTATTTTTTACTCCTAAATACTAATAGTGATTGATGGGAAGTTCTATCTGTCCCATATATATTTGAGTTAATAATAATAAAATAAAGAAAAATAAAAATAATAATAATAATAATTTGTAAAAATAAATTAATAATAATAATAATAAGACGGCAAGGGGTGCAATAGTAAATTAGATAAAGTGGGGGTGCATTTAGAAACAAAAGTGCACCGACAGGCGACAGCTTGTTATTTTTGTCAGTGAGAGCAACCGGCAACTACCGGTAGATGCAAACTTACTACAGCCTGTTTATGACAACTTACAAGCAACTCATCTACCTACACATTCTTCTTCACTATATGTACCACTTCTCATGCACAATGTACAATACCACGTGCCCTCATTGGATCATTTCCATTCTCAATTAGCTTTTTCATTTTCTTTTATTTATTTTTGTTATAAAAAAACATATTATATCGATTATCAAGCATATTTTTTAAATTTGCATTACACATATTGAGTGTTTTTTTCTTCTTCTGAAATATTCATTTGAATACTACCTAAATAAATCAAGAATAATTGAATATAATATATTTATTACTACTCGAAAACTATGATCGTTTTTTGTTCATAGCTATACTTGTTGATTATATTCTATTAAAATTAAATTTTAAGATTGAATCATTCAACCAAAATTATTATGAAAATTTATGAAATTAATTTCACCACACACTAATTACAAATTAATATTGCCTCACTAAAATTTAAATATAGAAAAATAATAAAATCCAAACTAACAATAACTACTTAAGTTCATAACTTAAATGGCTTACTATATATTTATATTGCTCTCCAAATATTCTTGAATATTTAAAATGTTATACACCATCATAGGATGCAGATTTATTGATACATTTATGTCATATATAATTTATTAAAAAAAATTGTAATTTATAAAACATAAAATAAAACAATCTCAGTAATTTAATCTGAAACATGGGTTATGGCATTTTTTTCCTACCTTATATTTATTTTTCTTCTATTTTGTATATATTTTATATATCATATTATATATATATATATATAATAAAGAAAAATACAAATTTTAGAGTAATGAGAGTTGTGTAACAACTCCCACTAGAAAATCTCTTGTACAACCGACAGTCTGAAACTGTTGCGTACCGGTTCAGCTGGTAAAAATTCGTAACGTTATTAATTATTAAATAATAAAGCAAATTATTTCTTCAAAGAAAGTGAAGAAAAAGACTGTATATATATGTAAGTGAAGGGAGAGAGAGAGAGAGAGAGAGATAGAGAGAGAGATGGCCGATTGATTGAGGCTAAGAATCTCAACACCAAATGCATCTCAGCTGACCAAACTGTTCGTTGAGGTTTTCATTCAGCATAAAAAAATAAAACCCATCATCTAACAGAAAACCTCGTATTTTACAGTGGTGGTAATAAAGCAAAATGGAGGCGAGTGGAGGATTAGTGGCTGGATCGCACAAAAGAAATGAGCTTGTTAGAATTCGCCATGATTCTGATAGTGGGGTATGTCTTTATTTTCTTTTTGTGGATTTGCATTTTTGGGTTTTAGTTCTTGAAATTATTTATTTAATTTGTTTTTCGTTTTTCTATTTTTAATTGTGCAATTGGGTTTAGATCTGATTGATAGCTGATAGTGTTGTAGTGATTCTTGGAGCATAAAGTTTGGATCTTGATGTGGTTTGAGAAATGGGTTCGGTCAATTTTTTCGATTTTGAGCAAATTTATGCTGTTTTTAGATCTGTGTGTTGGAATTGGAGTGAAAGAGCTTACATTTAATATGGGATCAGACTAAATAGACTTCCTTTTGACTAACACTACTGAGATCTTCAAAGGTTTATTTTTTGTGTAATGGTTTGACTGATTTGTAGTTTCTGATTTACATGAATTGGAAGAACACCCAATTCTCGAATCATATGCCGATTGCCCCCGACTCTTTGTGTAAACTCTTGATGATGTACCCTCATTTGTATATCTCATCGATGATTGTTTAACTTTCTTTGATTAAGTTTATCTAAAGTATTTAAACTTTTGATATGGATTAAATTGATTCACTGGATCGTAACGAAGGGAAATCTTGAGAATCTATCTTGATTCAGTGTTCTATACATTGTGCAGCCGAAGCCCTTGAAGAATATAAACGGGCAGATATGTCAGATATGTGGGGACACTGTCGGAGTGACTGCCAATGGTGATGTCTTCGTTGCTTGTAATGAATGTGCCTTTCCAGTTTGCCGAGCTTGTTATGAATACGAACGGAAAGACGGTAATCAGTCGTGCCCCCAGTGTAAAACTAGGTACAAGAGACAGAAAGGTCAGTACTCTTTTCTCGTATTTTGCGTAGATTTTTTTTTAAGTAGTAAATTTTATCTTAATTCTGTGTATCTCTTATTAGGGAGTCCGCGAGTCGATGGTGATGATGATGAGGACGATGTTGATGATTTGGAGAACGAGTTTAGTTATTCTCAGGGGAAAAACAAGGCTCGATCTCAGTGGCATGGGGATGAAATCGAGCTTTCTGCATCTTCTAGACGTGAATCTCAACAACCGATCCCTCTTCTTACCAATGGGCAGCAAGTAAGTCACCGAATTTTCATAAAAATATTCTGAAGCTGCAATTGATTGTTACCAATTCACGAGTACAATGCTCTTTTAAATCTTGTTTCCACAAATTACTATGTTAGTTGATTTGTGCTTCTAGCTAATTATATATCTTCTTTTTCTCATTTTCTTGGAAAAAAAATTGATAGGTATCTGGAGAGATTCCTCCGTCTATACAAGACACTAATTCAATTAGAAGTACTTCGGGACCTTTGGGACCTGGAGATCGTATCCACTCCCTTCCTTACGTTGATCCACGTCAGCCAGGTTTGCTGCTTGTGTTCATTAGGTTGTACGTCTTGGATCTTTTTCATTTGACAAAACGACTGACGACATTGTTAATTTATGCAGTTCCTGTAAGAATCGTCGACCCTTCCAAAGACTTGAACTCGTACGGACTCGGAAATGTTGACTGGAAGGAAAGGGTAGATAGTTGGAAACTAAAACAGGATAAAAATATGGTGCATATTAATAATAAATACAGTGAAGGGAAAGGAGATACCGAAGGCACGGGTTCAAACGGAGAGGAACTTCAAATGTAATCATACGCACTTTGGTTATTTGCTTAAAATTAGTAAAAGATAAATATGAATGAGTAATCTTTTTTCCGTACTAAAAGTTTATATATATGTATATTGCTGGCAGGGCTGATGATGCTCGGCAACCAATGAGTCGAATCGTGCCAATTTCATCTTCCCATCTTACCCCTTACCGTGTCATAATCATTTTTCGATTGATCATTTTGGGTTTTTTCTTGCAATACCGTTGTACTCATCCAGTGAAAGATGCTTATCCATTGTGGCTGACATCAGTTATCTGCGAGATTTGGTTTGCCTTATCTTGGCTTCTCGATCAGTTTCCGAAATGGTACCCTATTAACCGAGAGACCTATCTTGAAAGACTAGCACTAAGGTTAGTGGATGCTGTTAAAACCCTCTTGTCTGAAAGATTGGTTCTTTGTGTATGTCTTGTTTGTTTCCGTACTAAACTTTATGTTCTTGTTTTTTTTGTTGTCAGATACGATAGAGAGGGTGAGCCGTCACAGTTGGCACCGATTGATGTGTTTGTGAGTACAGTGGACCCGCTGAAAGAGCCTCCACTCGTAACTGCAAACACTGTGTTGTCCATCCTTTCTGTGGATTACCCTGTTGACAAAGTCTCGTGTTATGTTTCGGACGATGGTTCGGCGATGCTGTCCTTCGAGTCTCTGTCTGAAACTGCTGAATTCGCTAGGAAGTGGGTCCCATTCTGCAAGAAACACAGTATCGAGCCTAGAGCCCCTGAGTTCTATTTTGCTCAGAAGATAGATTACCTCAAGGACAAAATTCAGCCTTCCTTTGTCAAAGAACGTCGAGCAATGAAGGTTAATTCTTAAGTTATTCCCTTTTGTTTTCTTAAGTGAAAAGTGGGGTGTAACTATATTTGCTAACCCTTCTTTTATACTTCTACATTTTTTGTTTCTTGCAGAGAGAATATGAAGAATTTAAGGTAAGAATCAATGCTCTTGTTGCAAAGGCTCAAAAGATGCCTGAAGAAGGATGGACAATGCAAGATGGAACTCCCTGGCCTGGAAATAACACTCGAGATCATCCAGGAATGATCCAGGTATATATATATATTTATATATATGTATATTTTTTATCTTTAATTAATTTTTCGGTATTATCATATATATATATATATGTATATGATCCAGGTATGTATATATTTATATATGTATATTTCATCTTACCCTTTGTTCAAAAACAGGTCTTTTTGGGGCACAGTGGCGGTCTTGATACAGATGGAAACGAGCTACCTCGATTGGTTTATGTTTCTCGTGAGAAGCGCCCTGGATTTCAGCATCACAAGAAAGCTGGAGCTATGAATGCTTTGGTAAGTGATTTCCATGCTTACGTATATGGTTCCTCTGTAATAAATTGATGATCTTGTTTATGACAACATAAGTATTGACTGTTGTCTGTGTGTGCATTTCAGATTCGAGTCTCTGCTGTCCTAACAAACGGAGCGTATCTTTTGAATGTTGATTGTGATCACTACTTCAACAACAGCAAAGCTCTTAAAGAAGCCATGTGTTTTATGATGGACCCTGCTTACGGAAAGAAGACTTGCTACGTGCAGTTTCCACAGCGTTTCGATGGAATTGATTTGCACGATAGATACGCTAATCGCAATATTGTCTTCTTCGATGTAGGTCCCCCCACATGGATGTCTGAATATTATATATATAGCGTATGTGCGTGTGTGTGAATAACTAACCGCTGGAAATGTTCGTCACTGCAGATTAACTTGAAAGGGCTGGACGGGCTACAAGGCCCCGTTTATGTCGGAACAGGGTGTTGCTTTAACAGGCAAGCTTTATACGGTTATGACCCTGTCCTAACGGAAGAAGATCTTCAACCAAACATTATAGTCAAAAGTTGCTGCGGTTCAAGAAAGAAGGACAAAAGTGCCAATAAGAAGTACATTGACAAGAAACGAGCGGTTAAAAGAACCGAATCCACCATTCCTATCTTTAACATGGAGGATATTGAAGAGGGTGTCGAAGGTAAATAAATAATCTTTATTTGATAAAGTTCGTTACTTTCTTCAATTTCTCATTGGTTTGATAGTCTAATAAAAAAATTTAAATTATTTGGACAGGATATGACGATGAGAAGTCACTTCTCATGTCTCAGAAGAACTTGGAGAAGCGTTTCGGCCAATCTCCGGTTTTCATAGCCGCAACTTTCATGGAAATGGGAGGCATTCCACCCACAACAAATCCAGCTACTCTTTTGAAAGAAGCTATCCACGTCATCAGCTGTGGGTACGAGGATAAGAGCGAGTGGGGCAAAGAGGTTCGTTTTTTAGTTCCACTTTATTGCAAATTTTGTGTAGCTATATTTACTAAAGATAACATTTTTAATTCTGTTTTTTTTTTTTTTGTTTGGGTTATAGATTGGATGGATATACGGTTCTGTGACGGAAGATATTCTAACTGGTTTCAAAATGCACGCACGAGGGTGGATTTCGGTGTACTGTATGCCACCTCGCCCTGCTTTCAAAGGGTCTGCACCAATCAATCTTTCCGATCGATTGAACCAGGTTCTTAGGTGGGCCCTAGGGTCAGTTGAGATTCTTCTGAGCAGGCATTGCCCTATATGGTACGGCTACAGCGGTAGATTGCAGCTCCTTGAGAGGCTCGCGTATATCAACACCATCGTGTATCCACTCACCTCCATTCCTTTGCTTGCTTATTGTGTTCTCCCTGCGGTCTGTCTTCTCACCAACAAATTTATCATTCCCGAGGTAATAATAAAAAACTTTCGCTGTCGTTACTTGATTTTCCTATGATGTTTTTTGTTTGTCCTTTATCTTTACTATTATTAATATTTTTTGTTGGTCAAACAATGAGTTCCTTGGAGTATGTTTGGTTCTCATTCATGCATAATTCTCTCATCCGACATCCGATCTAAGCGATTCAATATGTACTAGAAAGACAAATGCAAGGACTACATATTTGATGAATTTTGCCAAATTTGGACTGAAATTTAAAATACAAGATTTGACACCTATCCAATTCACATTTGCAGATTAGCAATTTTGCGAGTATGTGGTTCATTTTCCTCTTCATGTCAATTTTCGCCACCGGAATACTCGAGATGCGGTGGAGCGGCGTCAGCATCGAGGACTGGTGGAGGAACGAGCAGTTCTGGGTCATTGGTGGCACCTCCGCGCATCTCTTCGCCGTTTTCCAAGGCCTATTGAAAGTCCTCGCCGGAATCGACACAAATTTCACCGTCACTTCCAAAGCCTCCGACGAAGACGGAGACTTTGCTGAGCTGTACGTCTTCAAATGGACCTCACTTATCATTCCTCCGACCACTGTCCTCTTCATCAACATGGTCGGAATTGTCGCCGGAGTTTCGGCAGCTATCAACAGCGGGTACCAGTCGTGGGGACCGCTTTTCGGGAAGTTGTTTTTCGCGATTTGGGTGATTGTGCATTTGTATCCGTTCCTTAAGGGTTTGCTGGGGAGGCAGAACCGCACGCCCACGATAGTTATCGTGTGGTCTGTCTTGCTTGCTTCGATTTTCTCGCTGCTTTGGGTGCGGATAGACCCGTTCACTTCGGATGCTACGAAGAAAGCTGCACAGGGTCAATGTGGGGTCAACTGCTAAGTTATGTGTTGGTGTATATAAAAGGACAGACAAGAAGAAAAAAAAGTTTCTTTTATGTTTTTTGGGTTTATAAGTTATGTTGTCCGAAAGAGTGTGATGGTTAAAAATGGGCATTTGTTTTGAGGGGACCCTTTTCATTTTTGTGTTGTAATTTAATGAATTGCAATTGCTGCTGAACTTTGTGTACCAGATATTTGAGGTTAAATGTAATAATTTTATATTTTTTTTTAAGACGTTAGCAATTTTTTTTTTCCAAACATTACCTAATAAATAGATTCTTTGTTTTGTCAATTTGTATGAGCCAAAAAATGTGACTTCTAAGTTCTATCCAATAAACAAAATCATGTCTAACAATACATGTAAGTTTTCATCTCATAAATCCATTTCTCCCAAACAAAATTTTCTTCTCCCAATAAAATTGTAAAATATCCATAAGATGTCGAAAAGTCGTCCTCCGAAGAACACACTTCTTAATCTATTGCTTATCTTTTTCCTCGACCAAAATCTTCTTACAAGCTTCGTAACACATAAACGAAATCCCAGCAGCAGGCACCAGCTTCAGACAACTCGGTCCAAGCCCTTTGTACAAACCACAAACCCCTTCTCGTTCGAGTATGCAAGAAAGTGCATGCAGAACATTCTTGTACACCTGTCTCCCACTCACAGCACCGACTTGCATGTGCTTACGAGCCACCTCAAGAGGAAACGTGGCAGTGCTCGAAACAGCACCGGCAAAAGATCCAATCAATAGGGTCTCGATATTTCCAATCTTTTCTTGTTTGAACATTTTCTTGTACGCTTTTCTCAAAGAATCGTAAGCGCAGTAGTTTGTGGCGGCATATGGAATCACTCCAATAACACTTGGAGTGAGACCTCTGTATAGCTCACCGGGCCCACCCTCTTGCAGTATTTTAACGAACGCATCGAACAATCCGTTGTATAGTTCTCTCTGAGTTATGGTAATAACTAATAAGCCAATAATAAGCGCAAAATTGTAACGAGATAAGTGTGTTTTAGATACGACATTTTGTTTACCTGTATAGTTAATCGAGTCTTGAGTAACTCGAGAGGGTACGTGACTAGAGTTGAGCTGACTCCGGCACATGCTCCGGCTATTAAGGAAGGAGGAATAGGCAGTTTTTGTGACAAGTTTTTGTTCACGGTGTCGAAAATAAATAGCTGCGCAAGATATTTCGTTTTTCCAAGAATTAGTGAAAACATCAAACTAAATGCAAAATACATATGAGTATGAATCAACAAAGATATATAAACAAGTTATCAATAGCACACTAAACAGAACAATATATAAGCAGCTCTAATTTCTTTCGAAGTTCTTTTTTTTTTTTGTTTACCTCAATGGCTTTGCTGGGTGCAATTCGAATGACGTTAACGAAATTCCCTCTAAACAATCCGGTCCATCCATCGGTTTTCATTATACTTTCGAACACTTCACTAGTCGAATGCCCGTTACTACCGACCATCAAATGAGTCCTAATTGTTTCTAATGGAGCCACAACGGTTCTTGAAATGGCACCGGCAATTCCACCGCTAACTAACCTTCTCAACGAAGGGTTCGAAATCTTGATCTTAAGCTTTAGACCCTTTTTATTCTTTTCGGACATCATCGAGTCCTTTTCATTTTCCGTCATGCCGAAAATCTTGAACCCCTCAGGCAATGAAACATACTTGACTAGCAAATCTGCGTGTGGTGGTAATTTGAGACCCCCGTTTTCGTTATTCCCCATTTGCCCAATAGAGGCAAACAAGCCACCAATAGGGTACAAATTGCAATCTTGAAAGCTCCATTGAAGCTTAGTATGAGAATCTGATGAGAAACCAGTGTTGTTTAACTTCAAATACTGAGATTCTCCTTTTTTACTCATCCTTCAAGATTTTCAAAAACCTCAATATACAATCCCTTCTACTTCTCTTTCTCTCTCTAAAACTATCTGGTGAAATTAAGTACACCACCACATATGAAAAATATCATATTTGAAGTAGAAAAAGATTCGATTTTTTTGGGCAAGTGGGCAGGCAAAAACTCCATTCTTGACAACAGGGTAGTTTGAGAATATCAGCCAAAAGATGCTAATTCTTCAACAAATAAAATAAAGATTAAAAAAAAAAACCAGTAGTATAAAGATAGAATACTAAGTGTGTATTAGGATGAAGAATCTAAGGAAAGAGGGAATGGAAGAATCTAAAGAAAGGAGCCCCTCTTCAAACCCCAGAAGGGCCATCTAAGAGAATATATATAGATGTATAAATTATGTCAACCAATGGAAAAAATAACTCAACACCATATAAAAATAGAATTTTGGATTTTATATATACTCAATCAATACCAATACTAGTCTCTGCATTTATGTTGGCATTTATTTATATATGTATATATATTTGATATTGTTAATATATTTTGATTTGGCCATCAATGCATGTCAAAGATAATAATAGAACATTTAATAAGAGATGTAATAATTAATGATTCTTGATTATTCTTCTAAGACCTTGGATTTGGGCAGACTGGTCAGAAATGAAGTTGGGAATTGTGTGGTCATACCTCATTTCTTAATCTTGAGAATATAAAGCTTCATCAACTGGTGCATGTTATTGTTTGGCTCTAAGCAATGAGTGGTGGGTGGGCCCCACTATAATTTCTCACTTGGATATTTTATTAAGAGTGTAGACTATGGAAAGAGATGTGTTTCACAATTGAAATGCATTTGTCTTATCACACACACACACACACACACTACATAAGGAAACTTCAATTTCAACCATACACAACAACAATGGTTTTAGGAACACTTTGTTTCAATTATCTTATATCAATCTGCAATGTGTATACCAAATAACCTTTGAGTAATGATAAATTATTAAAGTAAATTGATTTTTGTCCTTTATGCAGAGAACTACATTCTCTAATCTCCCAACAACAAATTACCCTAAGAAAGAATGGTGTTAGCCAGTTACTTTAATCTCAAATGAACCAGCACTTTGCTTTTCCTGGAAATAAGGATGAATTTGACGAACCCCTTCAAGGTAAAACGACGTCTGCATTTCAATTAACCGAGAAACCTGCACACATATTATTCCTATTATTCTTTGTCAAAGAGATTTATTCTCGGAGAAACGAAAAAAAAAAACTCACAGCTCTTTGAAAAGCAAACATTTCCTCTTGACCAGAAAGAAGGGAAATAATTCCTGTGGTGTTTTCTCGAGAACTAGTCGTCGTGTTGGCTTCTGCCAAAACATCCCGTCTGAGCTTAGTGTCTTCTGTTTCTGTCTCGAACTGGAAGCTGCAAATTAGGACAATACACATTCAGTGTTGTAATAATTAAGTGATTATAAGCTACTTCGGTTCAGATCACACTTGCCTCTCTAAATCAAACAATGTTCCCTCTTCGGTTCCTTGAAATAAATCGTCAATAGGAGCAGCAGCACAACAGTACAGACTGCAGTGGTGATTGTACAATTCGTCGACCAGCGTAATAAATCTTCTTGCCTGACAAATAAAAATATATATGTACAGCCCATCTTATTAAACTAATGGAATTGAAACTGCAATTCTTTCTAATATTACCTTGTCTCGAATACGCATACTCATAACAGGAATATCTGTTATGAAGACCGTGTGATAAGTTTTAGCAACGGCAATATAATCGGCTGCTCCAATCTGCATTGATTAGCACGAGACTCCAAAAAATAAACCACTAAAATATATGATAATGTCAATCAACAAACATTAGAAAAAAAGTAATAAATAGAACATACTGGCTGACCACATAGATATTCAAACGTGAACCTCGCCACCCCATTGCAGCTCTCGAAGACTTCCAATGTTCTAATCATAATCGAGAATATATCATAAATCAAAGATCCAAAAAATAATTATCTAACTTAATGTTTATGATTGAAAATATTATTTACCTTCCAAACATAACCGGAAGAGTCTGAGAAGTGACCTTCCCTCCGGAATGTTCCACAATTTTGTTCCATGTATCTTCATATTCCTTTATTACGGTGCTATCGAGAGGCCAAAAGTAATGACTCTGAATAATACACCAAGACAAATTTCAATATTCACGAAAAATCAATTCTTGAAACAATTCATATGCACTAAAATTTCAAATTGCGTTTTCAGACTAAATACACGTTCTTGCCTGATCAATTGAACTCTTTGCTATTTGACGACGGTAATCAATTTCACTTCCAATCGGAACATTTTCACAGTGCTCCTCCAATTTCGTGAGGAACTGTTGGAATATCTCCTTTTGCATCCCATCCTTTAAAAAAAATTATTGTTAGAGTACAAATAAAACCATTAAATTAAAAAGGGATAAAATCATGAATATATGCTCGAAGAAACCTGATTTAATTCATTCGGTGCACGATTACTAGTAGCCACAAGAACAGTTCCAGTGCTCAATAATCTGCTTAAAATTCCCGATAATGCCACTATAGCAAATACATCAACTGTCTGTATATAAGCCAACAATCGATAGTTCAATGGACAGCATAAACTTATGAAATCTTCACAAATATAAGTCCTAAATAACAAAAATAACGTCGAACCTGAATTTCATCAAAGCAAAGAATACTAGCTCCTGTTCGACGCCCTTGTCCATCGACAAGAAATTTGTCTGCAACAGCTGGAAGAATATTCTTAATCTTCATCTCTTGCTTATATCTTTCTTCTTCAACTAGCCATTCCTTAACTCTCGTATCAAACGGAAGATGCTTAACCCAGTTCGAAATGCTGGACTGAAGAGAATTTTCCATTTCTTTATTCTTCCACACTTTATGCATCAGATCGTGTATTTGAAGCATAGCCTGCCAATTATGAAATGACGACGAAATCGGATTATTTTTTTTGCTCATCAGATATAATCCTTATTCCATTTTACCATTCAATTTTTATTCAATATATAAGTACAGATGACTTCATATACACTCGCCTCGTGAAAATGAAGCCTTCTTCGATGTTGAACAATTCCTTCTGTGGCACTATAAAACATATCCATGAGCATTGTCTTTCCTAAGACAAGGATTGTGACATCATGAAGGAAAAAAGTTAAAACAAAAAAATCGTAATTAAAATGTAATGCAATTGATTTGAGTAAGATGCAGCAGCAAACCACTTCCGACATTTCCGTAAATGTATAGTCCTTTAGGAGCTGGGGGAGCAACCGGACGCTGGCCCACCATAGAATCTAGTTTCTTTTCTCTGTTGAGATACGACACCCATTTTCCTACGCCTTGTTCAGCACCATCGACTTTTTTGCTGAATCAAGAAAAACTTACTAAGCAATCCGAAGATCATAAAATAACAAGACTGACAAATAACATGGAGTTCTTTCTTCTTCTTCTTTTATAGTTTATTTTTATTTTTTTTAAATATATTTAACTCACTGTGATGACATCCATGTTTGGATAAAATTCCGACGCTTGTTTATAGAAGAAGCATCTCCCTGCTGTTTTGCATTGGCTTCCTTCATCAAAAGCCGTCTTCTCTCATTTTCCCGACTCTCTTCCCATTTAGCAAGCTTCGTCTATGAAATCATGAGAACAAAAATATAAGATTTGGTACAGACATTAAAGAAAATGAAAAAGTATTTATCTTAAGAATAAGTCCTACATGGTATTCCTCCATATCTTTCTCGTATTGGTCCAGTCTTCCAAGCAAATTGTCCAGTTCAAAAGCAACCTTTTCTTGGTAAGGATCATGTTTCAACTTCCCTTGATTTACGAGACTCTTGTAATAAGTAACCGGCCCTGGAAATAAAATGGAGAATGAAACTTCAAAGAAAAATCTAAGGAGGGTAATTACAGAAACTAACCGGACAAAAGACTGAATAAATAGACTAATATCATATTTGGATGCTTGTAACTGAACCCGAGAATCGAGATTTTTGAATTTCATCCTAATTTGGAATTGCACAACTGTATTACTGATCCCAAACTTAATAAAGTACATAACTTAAACTTAAAACCCCAGAAATAGTTGATAACATTAACTAAGAAACTATAATCTTATAACAAACTATTTTACTGCATGAATTTGGTCATTCTTCAATTCAGCTAAATAAATCTCTTGCCTTTCTTATACATGCTAATTCATTCAGGACAAACAGAAAAATCCATAAATTCTCAGACACGATCAAAATTGAAGTTTGACATATACAACACACGAAGCACAAAAACACACGAAATTACCAAAACCAATTGACACAAAACGAAAAAAAAAAACAATTCCAAAGAGGAAAACCTGCATTCAAAAATTAAGAATTAAGAACGAGATGCACACTAACCAGGACGCCTGGAGAAGGAAGAATGTGGACGATCACAGAACAGCCGAAAATTGGTAGCGCGAAATTTAGAGGGCCGGTCGGAGAATCTAGACGACAGAAGAAACAATAATTTTTTCATATTCCTTTGTCGGATTCTGCTTTATCCTCTTGGTTTTTTTTGTTTTTGATCTCTAGTGTGTTGAGATCAATTGGAATTTTGTTTGATTGAGAGCTGATTTCAGTCGCTGTTTTATTTATGGAGAGGGCCTCGAAAAAGTAGCGGGACTGACTGACGTGGCCACGGCTTCGGCCAGCCACTTCAAGAACTCTTTTTTTCCTTATTTATTTTTTGTGGAATTTGGTAATGATTTATATTATAAATGAATTTTGTTAATCTTATTTTTTAAAGAGAAATGTCTGCTACAATGAATAAACTCGTCCAAAAAATTTCAAACATATATAATGTACCTTATGATTCAAAAATCAGGTCTGAATCAGCAACTGCAGTAGTTTATGATCTAAAAACCGAGTCTTGCCATCAAAAGTGACCATAATCAAAGCATTCCAAATACAATAATCAGGTGCAATACCTCTCTCCACCATTTCCATTAACACCATTAAACCTTCTTGAAACTCCCCTTGCTTGCAAAATCCACTAATTATGAGTCCATAGCTTTCACAATCAAGCAAACAACCCCTCTTCTTTAAATCCTCCACCAGCCTCACTGCCCTCCCAACTTTCCCCTGCCGGCACAACCCCCCGATCAAACCGTTAAACGTCGACCCCACCGGGAAATAACCCCGCCCAATCATTTCGTTGGTCACTTCAACCGCCCGTTTCAAACAGCCTTCTTCGCAGAATTTTCGAATCAAACTTGCGTAAACAGGTGCACTTAACAAATCTCCTTCTTCACTCATCTTGTCAAGAATCTGGTTCACTTCTTCTTGTTCTTTTTCTCCCGCCACATTACCGCCTTCTTTACACAATCGTAGAATCCTCAAACTCCGATCCACAGCACGAGGAAACAGATTCTTCATCGAGTTTAGAAACTCGAGCGCTTCGTCGAGACAGTTATCTCGGTACAAACCATACAGAATGCTGTTATACGGCCCGATACATCCTAAAAACCGACCCTTTTCCTCGCACATGAGTTCGAATATTTTAAACCCGTCACGTGTCTTTCCAGACGAGCACAACCCATATATTAAAGTCTCGAAAGTGACTGAATCCCAATGTACACAAGCCCGTTTCATCTCGTGAAACAAATCGAGAGCCGAGTCAAAATCTTTCGACTCGCAAAAACCCGCAATCAGAATATTGTAGGTTTCCGTGTTTGGCAAACACCCCTTCATCTCCATTTGCTTGAGAAAGCCATACCCTGCTCTCACTTTACCTGCTTTAGCAAAACCCTTGAGGAGAGTGTTGTAAGCCACAACATCAAGATTCACTCCCTTCTTCTCCACTCTCTCTAATACTTCGACAGCTTCGGAAATTCGTCCTGCATTGCATAGAACTTCGATGACTTTAGTCAAGGGGATAATATCCGGCACAAATCCGTTGCTAAAGCACTTTTCTATCATCACCATCGCCTGAACTAGATTTCCTTCATTGCAATATGCCGATATCAAGATATTGTATGTTACGTTGCTAAATTCTTTCATTTCGTTCGTTAGGCTTCTAGCTCTGCCTACCTTTCCGTTTTTGCAGAGAGCGTAGATCAATGTGTTGTACACAACGACATTGACTTTGACACCGTGGTTTTTCATGACTTGCAGCAGCTTAAACCCGTCTGCGATTCTGTTCGTTAAGCAAAAACCTTTCATTAAAATGCCGTAAGTGTAGTCATCACCCTTCATACCACACCCCATCATTTTTCTTCTATAGAACTCCCTTGCAATGTCGATATCTTCCTTCACGAGAACATCAAGAATTGCATTCAACAGCTTCAAAGAAGGGGTGGCGCCAGATTCCCCAAACTTGGGCACCAAATCGAGCACTTTGATCACTTCCCTCGTCATTTTAGCCCGTCCAAAACCACGTACGATAGTTATGAAAATGTCGTCATTCGGTGTCAAACCAATTCTCTTGGGCATTTCATCGAGCAGGTGGTCGACAGTCTTGAACTGCCGGAAAGTACAGAGCTTGTGGATCAAAGCTCGATAGGTGAACACAGTGTGGGTGAAGTTCGGAACCTTCGAAGCCCATTCGAAGGTTTGGAGAGCCTCGCTTGCTGATTTTTGCTCTAAAATGAGATGGGCTATTTGCTCGTGGGTGGGTACTAAAACAGAGGTGGTGGTCGAGATGAATCTTGATCGAATGTTTGAGAGAAGCATTTCCTTACGGAGGTTAAAGATTTTAGACATGGATTTTGCTAATTCTGCAAATCGAATTCAACCCTTCTAATAATATCGACATGGATTTTTAATTAAGCAGCCTGCCCAGTGCCCCTATTATTATAGTACATTTACTTCTTTCTCTCAGACATGTTTTTTGCTCTGTTTTTGTTATGTTAACAATGTACAAAGGAGCAGCCGACCAAAGCTGCCTAAATCTCCTTCACCTCTGCAACACTTTCTTCAAACTCAGACAAATCCACGCGAAAATTCTCAAACTTGGTGATCAGAACAACCCTTTTGTCCTCACAAAATTCACCTCCGTTTCTTCAGAGCTCAATGCCATCCACTATGCTTGTTCTTTTATTTTCTCCCCAGAATCGGAGCCCCATTTCTACGACACATTCCTTTTCAACACTGTTATTGAAGCTTACGCAAAGACTACTACTACTACCCATTTTAAGCGCAGTGCTGTACGTTACTATAAAGAAATGCGAAGTCATGGTATCGAGCCCAATAACTACACCTACCCTTTCGTTCTAAAGGCTTGTGCTGGCATGGGGGACTTGAATTTAGGCCAAACGGTTCACGGGTCGGTTACAAAACTCGGGTTCTGCGGCGATGCCCATGTTTTGCATGCCACGATTCACATGTACTGCAGTTGCAGAAATGGGATCGAGTTCGCAGAAAAGCTGTTCGATGAAATGCCTAAGACAAATTCGGTTTCTTGGAGCACAATGATAGGTGGGTACGTGAGATGGGGAATGTCGAGCGAAGCCATTAAATTGTTCAGAAGAATGCAAAACATCGGGCCTCGGCCAGACGAGATCACCATGGTGATGGTGCTCTCTGCATGTGCCGACTTGGGCGCCCTCGAGCTCGGGAGGTGGGCCCACGCCTACATTGACAAGGAGAAGTTCGAGATGAGACCCGAACTATCCAATGCGCTAATTGACATGTTTGCAAAGTGCGGAGATGTCGACAGCGCATTGAGATTGTTCGACAAAATGCCCGAGAGAAAGAGGAGTGTCGTTTCTTGGACTTCCGTTATTTTCGGTATGGCGTTGCACGGGCGTGGCTTGGAGGCCGTTTCGCTCTTCGAGGAGATGACGAGAAACGGGGTAGTTCCTGACGACGTGGCGTTCATCGGCTTGCTCACCGCTTGTAGCCATTCTGGTTTAGTCGAAGATGGAAAACGGTATTTCGATTCCATGGTGAATGATTATGGGATTAGGCCTAGGATTGAGCATTACGGATGCATGGTGGATTTGTTAAGCAGAGCTGGATTAGTAAACGAGGCTGTGGAGTTTATAGATAAAATGCCCGTCGCGCCAAATCCCATTATCTGGCGAAGCTTGATATCTGCATGTAGAGCTCAAGATCAGTTGAATCTTGGAGAAAGAATAACAAAGGATCTTATCTCGAACGAGCCAATGCACGAGGCTAACTATGTTCTACTTTCTGGAATTTACGCGAAAATGTCGAATTGGCAAAAGAAAACCACAGTTAGAGAAGAAATGGGGAAGAAGGGAATTAGAAAAATTCCGGGATGTACTATGATTGAGCTCGATAACGGGATTTATGAATTTGTCGCAGGTGATAAATCGCACGGAGAATACAGAAAGATTTACGAAATGGTTGATGAAATGGAGAAGAAGATTAGAGGAGCTGGATATGTTGTTACAACAAAGAATGTGTTGCTCGATATTGAGGAAGAAGATAAAGAGGGTGCTGTAAATAAGCACAGTGAGAAGCTGGCTATTGCTTTTGGGCTCATGAAGACGAGTCCTGGTTCGACTATTAGAATTGTGAAGAATTTACGAGTTTGTGATGATTGCCACTCTGCTACGAAGCTTATATCGGTGATATATAAACGGGATATTGTCGTACGCGATAGGAACCGGTTTCATCACTTTAAAGATGGATTGTGCTCGTGTAACGATTTCTGGTAAAAAAAAATGTGATGCTATTATATCCTAAAGGCTGAAATGTTCAAATCTTTATTTTTAACACTCGTATATATTGTACATAACATGTTTATCCATACGTAGTCAACGAACGGTTAATCTAAAAATAATTTCATTAGTTTTTTAATGTAAAGCAAAATCGTAAAAATTATACTATAGCACACAGTTTTTGCTGAAAATTGCTGAAATGTTCTAACATTGTTTTTTAAAAAAATTCACACTCAAATATACAGTATAGAACAAGTAATCAACATACAGTTAATCTAAAATAACTAGCACACGTTAATTTCCGGAAAACTTGGATATCATTCTTGAGACTCAAACATGAACTCTAATCCTGTATTTCTAAAAACATGTTGAATTGTGTAGATTCCATCAACAGGTTATTTCTAGTTATTTATATTATCAAAGAAAAACAGACTTGATGTCTTTTTCATTTAAAAAGTAAAAGGAAAACTATATACAATTGCAACGAAAAAAAATATAGTTTAAAATAAAGCATGCATGTACCATCAAGCCTATATATCCAACTTAACAATGGAAGTCAGGCAACACAAAGGGTTGACTAATTAAACAATCCACAAGAGCTAGGGTGCAAATAAAATACAACGCACATAATTTGCTTCAGAAATGAAATATCCATACTGAGTATATCAATCTATTCTTAGCTATCCCAAAGGTAGTACTCGAACAACAGTCAACTTTTCCTCTGAATATTAAATGGATCAGATACCGCATATAATTCAATAAACCACAAGTAACTTTCTCCACCCATGCAGACGTGTTTCTTCACATTGTAATACAGAGTCTACGACGGCACTGCATCAAATAAAGAAAAGGCCAACATTAGACAACATTTCACATCAAATAAATAAAATTTCATATCATACAAATTTAGATAGGCCATAAAAGAAGCTATTTGAAGACATTTTGGAGATGAGTTCTCATTTTGTTTTTTATGTTCTATACCTAAACATTGAAATTGGTTGTACGTTTGACAAATGCTTAACCATAATCAACCATATATCCAATGGATGAACGGATGTTCTAAATTTGAAAAAACGTTCAATAGAAACATGAAGAACCAAAGAACATGAGAAAAAGTAGACTCCTGATAGAAAACAGAAACATAACATGCCCTAGTGAAAAGTAGGGAGTCTTACTGTATGTAGAAGTGTCAATCTGCTCAGGCAGTTCTTTAATATCAACTTCAAACCTTTCTTGAACCTGCAAATTCATAGGAGTCAATCTCATAGAATGCCGGCAAATAAGAAAATTGACAAATAAACCAAATATTAAAATAACAAACCTGATTTAGAACATCTGAATCAGAAGCTGATGAAACAAAAGTGATGGCAAGCCCTTTTGTACCAAACCTTCCCGCTCTACCCACCTAGCACAGACAAATAGTACAAAGATATTAGGACTAGATATTCAAATCCAACAAATAACCTTGTCTATGCGAAGGAAAATCAGCAACAAAATTATACCCTATGCAGATAAGTGTCAGCTGAATCTGGCATATCATAGTTAATGACAATGTTCACTCGTTCTATGTCAATTCCTCTTCCGACTAAATCCGTTGCAACAAGAATCCTTTTGTGCCCCTCCTTGAATGACTTGTATCGCGTCAATCTGCAGCCGGAGCCAATTCAGGACAGCATAAATCAAGGCAATTCAAAATGTAGTAATACACTATCCAGCTTTTAGGTGAGACAATATCCCGTCTTCTGTTACTAACAATACAATTATAGTATTGCTGCAATAAGTATTGCAGTTTTAAATTCTCATTATAATCTCGATACAAAACATCCAGTCCTTTGGTACAGCAACTTTTATAAACATCTTTACCAAAGATTGATTGATATCACAGAACCCATGTTCTTAACAGAACGGGCCCCATTCGTACATCTATGTGATAGTTGAGCGAATAAAGGAACCAACAACTAATCCAAGAGAGTCAACAGTCGCTTGTCAAATACAAAAGGTTACGACAAGTCAAACAAACCTCTCTTCCTGGGACATGCCAGAGTGAATGCATATAGATGGAAAATTACAGTCCACAAGCAACTTGTTCAGCTCAGCAGCTCTACTGACGCTTTTAACAAAGATGACAACTTGATTGAAGTCCAATGCATCAAGAAGATCGTTCAGCTTTCGGTTTTTCTCTAGCTCACTCAATTTGATGTAGTGCTGAAATTAGGGAATCAACAGTAAGGAACATATAACTTAAAAAGGGTAGAAAGAATAATTCAAATGTCAAAAACAAACCTGTACAAGACCATGAAGTGTCAATTTCGCTTCGTCATCCACGTAAATCTCCATAGGCTGAAAGGAAGAAATGGCACAGTAAAGAAAATTAGGAGCCCACGAGAAGCTAATTGTATCCAGTATGAAATGAATTGATGGACGAACATGCCCCGAATTGAGGTTCTGGTCCATCTGCATCAACTCCTTGCAGACTTTAACAGTCAGAACAACTAGTGTCACCATTTCTGCTCTAGATAACTACTTATCCAGCAACATATGAAGAAAAAAAACCTCCCAGACCACTCCCTCTGATTTTCTACTCTATAAAGTGAAAACTTAAAACAAAAAGGAAAAAAAAAAAAGACAAGTGCAAAAAGCCAACTAAAGGAGCACCAGCTAGAAAACTACACCACTCCATGCGCCCCAATCTACCAACCCGTTCCACATGAATCATCAGGTGTCAGATGGATAGATAAACACATGACATGGCAAGCATACAGTGCTTCAACAACTGCATTTTCGACATGTCACTTGCAGAAAGCTGGAGTAAATGAAATATGGTAGACTTCAAAATTCAAGTAGGACTGGCCACAGGACATTACATCTTGCATAAATTTCTTGCAGATAGGTCGAATCTCCTTGCTGAGCGTAGCAGAAAACATCATAACTTGCTTATCATGAGGTGTCATTTTGAATATCTCCTGCACATCTCGCCGCATATCTGAGGATATACAAAATGACTGAGAAAGTAAATACTTTTGTTCTTCCAGCTAATTTGATGGGGAAAAAAGAGGTTGTCGTGATAAAGTTCAATAATTATGGGCAGACATACCAAGAGACTCGAGCATCTTGTCACACTCATCCAGAATGAAATGCCTCACATTTTTTAAAGAAAGGTCCTTCTCTCTTGCTAGAGCAAGAATCCTCCCTGGAGTCCCTACAACAATCTGGGGACACTCGTTCTTCAGAATATCTTTGTGATTTTTTATGCTGACACCGCCATAGAAAACAGCAGCTTTAGTGCCTGGTAAGTAAGTGCTGAATCGATCGAATTCACTACAGATCTGCAAAATATGAAACAGAAAACCCACAGTAAGCAAGATGCCAATTAAAACTACTAGAGCCATAAACGTAAAGAGAATATCCGATGACGCATAAATTTATTCCAAGAAACATCAGCGAACAAACTCTAATATAAACCCAGAAACAAAATTGAATATAAGTAGGATTCATGCCTGATAAGCCAGTTCCCTCGTATGACATAGGACAAGAGCAGCAACTTGACCTGCAATGGGTTCAATCTGCTGCATTGTTGAAAGCACAAACACCGCAGTTTTCCCCATACCAGACTTCGCTTGGCAAATAACATCCATTCCCAAAATTGCTTGAGGTATGCATTCATGTTGAACTGATGATGAACCAAAGAAATTTGATGCAAGGAAGCCTCAGTTTCAATTAAAAAAGGTTTTACCATTGAACTTCTCCAGGGTAGAGTGATAGTAGTGAATTACCTGAAGACAGTAAAAAATGTTGCCAAGTCAAATATCTACAATGATAATTCACAAAAAGAACCAACAACAAAAGAAGGTTATCGCAGACCAACAAAAGAACAAGACCATTTACAAAACAAAGATTCAATGAACAAGCTTCCTTGAAATTGAAAGCTTACTTAAGAAAGTATAATAAAATGTATTCATTACATTCTCCTAGAAGTATGGCAACAAAATCATATAGCTTCTAAGGCTGATTCCAATTCTACATACTTCCACCATCAACATGAAACAATATGAATTTGTTGGAATTCAAAAAAGTACATAATTCAAGCCAATAAAATTTGATGTATAATTCATCAGGATCTTTAGTGCTAAGAATAAACTGAAATAATTGTCCCAAACTACTTGCACGGTAATATAAACATAACCAAGTGTGCAACTAAACAACTGGAAACATATCTTGCCTTCTGATGGATGTTCAAATCCCGAATCAACAATAGCTCGTAAAAGCTCTGGCTTCAAAAGGAAGTCTCTAAATCCTGAACTGTGGATCCCTACGTAGCCCCTGTGATACAGAAGACGCAAAATAACTCAGTCAAATAGCCCAACACAGATGCCAGACAAAATCATTCATTACACACAACAAAAATCTTCCAATAAAACTTAAACTGGAAAAGATCATATACAATTTGAGTTTAAACATATAAAAATAGTAAACAAAACCAGTTAACGCAACACGTGAAGGTTCACAATTACTGGGAGAAAGATCTATTCAAATAGAGAACAAATTAATAGGAAAAACTCACTTTTTGCCGGACTCCCCGTTGGCTTTGGCGGTAACTGAATCAGGGGCTTTTTCTTCTTCCTCCTCGTAATCGAGAAGCTCTTCTTCGTACGCCTCGTTTTCCTTAGTGTCTCCCATTGACCTGTGGGCTACAGTGAAAAAACAGATCTGATTTAGAAAACCCTATCTTCCACAATCATGGGTACAAAAAAAAAAAAGCAAAAAATACGACGTATAAGCAACTCTAGGGAATGGTTTGGTGTACCTGATGAATCTGATTGAGAGGATTTGGGGTTTTGTTGGGATTAGGGTTTCGAAATTCTGCAGAGAAAAACGTTAGGAAATAATCGGGAAAAAGTTGCTTGTGCAGGAGAGAGGGAGCGATAGGGTTGCGGCTTTATAGTTGAGAGGAAGGGGTATGTGAGTTGGCGGTAATGTCCTCCGAAGAATGTGATAATTACAGGAGCGCCATTCTTTGAATTCGGTATAGTCGGTCCTCAACCGGCCCAAACAAATAAACGCTTATGGGCCGATCCCAACCGATGGATCAAGTGTTCAATTATTATTTTTATTTGTTTTTTTATTATTTATTATTATTTTTAATTAGTTAAATGATAGAATGACTTGGGTAATTGATATGTCTAGTTGGGCCAACCCAATACGCCTACAATTTATGTATTTACTGGGCCACGAGCCCAATATCAAAAATCGCTATTAACAAGGCCCAATCACCTTCAGATATGGTTTGGGTCCGACAATCTCAACTAATTAAATTTCAGCTCAATCAATGAGGTATAAACAGTGTTCTAAAAATCGGCCGAGGCGGTCGATTAATCGGTCTTCGAGGCGGAGGCGGTCCAAAACCTTTACGATTTTAGTGTACAGGTTTGAAAAATCGGTTTTTTTGCTTGTCAGGCGGTTTTAGGCAGTCCGAGATGGTCTGAGGCGGTCAAACCTTTAAGGCGGGTCAAACTCAGTGGCAAAAATCGGCCAAAAATCGATTTTTTTTTTATTATAATTCAAAATAAAAGTTGGGATTTTAATAACAAAATATGAGTTTATGCTTTATTTTATTTATGTTAACTGTTATTGTTAAAGAACTAATAATGTATGCCAGGAATGTTCAAAAATAAATGTAAATTTAGATAAATTGCCTTTTTATTTATATTTTATAAAGATATATATGTATTATGATCTTATTATTGTTAAACTTTTATTGTGTTATTAGGATATATATAAATGATGGAGATTTAACTATGTTTAAATATCTTTTTATATATGTTTTGAGTATTTAAAAATAATATCTGGAAATATATTATATTAATTTTCAAAACCGATTTACCTTCGATTTATCACCGATTAATCACCGCCGCATCGATTAATCGTGAGTCGGTGCCTGACCGCCTCCGACCCGATTACCGCTTTTTACAACCTTGGGTATAAATAAAGGTTTGAACTCATTCCTTAAGGTACGTCCTATTATCTGAGCAATACTACAACATGTATTCTCGGAACTATTTTTAATATCCGCACGTTTGACTTGAGCGTCATAGGGGTTTCCGCCGAATCAACCCCAACTTAGTTCACGTGTTCCATGATCGCAGGTATCTCATGGTCATCAAGCTCGTGAGCCAGTGATCCATTCTACTCTTCCAACTCATCCTACTTCAGCACTTTAAGGGGATCTAACTCTAGCATTGTCAGTAATTAGTAGGTAATTAGTAAGAAAGTAGATGAGATGTGGTGAAGTTGTGAGAAAATGAATAGAATAGGTGTAAATTTTTATTTTTTAAGTTTGGTAATAATTCGGCCGATTCTTTTTATTTTTCGAAAATGCTCGTTTCGAAATCGACGGTCCGATGATGAATGATCATAGTAAGTATGTATGTAAGTGGAAAAAACTAATACATCAACACAAAATTACATTATTGATTATTATTGCTTTACAATGGGATTTTACATTATTGATTATTGGTTGATTGGAGGTAAAGAGAAAATGTCAAGTGTGGAGCTTCCACTTCTGATTTCTTTTAGGGTCCTTAAGGCTGATATAGTAAGCCTCAAATACATATTCTCCATGCATTTAATTTCCTCGAGTTCTTCCGGAACTTCGAGTTTTTCCGTCTCTTCCTCAGCCGCCGCCTCGTCCGGATATTCCGGTGGGCCCAATTTCTCGTTCCGCGAGAAAATGCGGTAGATCATTATCTCACACTCCTTTGCTAGCTTATTTACTAGCTCCGTCCTGAAGAAGGGCTCGTGTAGAACCTTCCGGATGAAAGGCAGTCGAATCAGATCACCACTTTTCTTGTCATACTTCTTCAAAATCTTAAGCAATCCTGGCAAAATGAATGTAAATTCTCATACATTTGAACTGCAAAAACAGCAACTTAAAATACATGTGTTTGAGTTTTTCAAAAAAAAAAAACCTGTGTAATTAAGAGCACTGTAATTTTCCAACAAAATCATTTCTCCGTGAAAATCGACGAGCTTTCTTCCGACTTTCATAAGCTCTTCTCTCGAATCCTTTGCCTCGGCCACGTCTTCTTTCAGCATCTATGTTCAATCAAAGGGGCAAAAATAAATAAAACGAACCCCTAATTAAAAACAGAACAATCATCTTTTCAATTCGCTTTTTTTAACTTTCATCAGCTAAATACTGCATCCAAACAGAGCCTAGGGTTTTGAGAAAATGAGGAAATTCATTTTGAAGAACCCTAAATTAAATAGCATACCTTAAATCTGATAACGTACTCTTCCTCTTTATCCATGAAAAAGCAATTAAATTTCTTAATCTCCCTCTCCAAAAGCTTCACAAAAAATTTCATCTCCTGCGTCACCTCCTTCGATTCATCCCTTTGATTATCATCTCGCAATCTGGGGCGTTTAGTAGATCTCTCGATATTATCATCATCATCCACGAGATTTTCGACCGGGTAGATCAATTTCAGCTGCTGCTTCAAATCTTTGTAAGATATGAACTCGTCCTGCCAATCCGGGAATATCTCGTCAAGCAATCTTCTAAGAATCTTCCAGAATTTCATCTTCGGAGAAAGCGTTTAATTGGAGGAGTAGAAGATCATGTGAGTGTGTAAATCAGTATGTATAATGTATGTATGTATGTATATAAATAAGTGAAGCAATAAAACAATGGGAGAATAGAGTATTGGGTGGTGGTTTGGTGAAGGCGGGAATATGCGAATATCAAACAGAATATATAAATATTCCCCATTGGTTTGACCGGTTGCTTTCTACTTATTTGCCTTTTAGCCCCTCCTTTTGTTGTAAATGTCATTTTCCCTCATAAATATTTATGTTGGTCGAGTAATGCCCTTTTCTTAAGTCGAAATTTCAATAATTCTTTGCTTCTCAATTGGACTTGTATTATTAGACATAGCTTCCTCGTACATTATAACAAACCTCAATTCTGGTACATTCTCATGATTGGATTTCTTGCAACATGTGTCTTACATTTCCTAGGTAACAAGCCACCAAAAAAATTTATGCCTTGAGAAAAAAGTAATAGAACTCAATCTTGAAATGAAGGTCAATCTTTAGAATCTTCGTCTATCAAAGGATATTTATTCTATTATTAAAAGGTTTCTGCATAAATCATCATCTTGCAAAAAGTTCTGACTTGGGAAATTAAAGAAGCTGCTGCCATAATCAGGTTCGTGTTCATTTATGTTATGCTTACAACTTCAGAGCTTGTCTGAGTTAATTGATCTCTTGCAGTAATACTGTGTGTGTGTGTGCGTGTGTTTGGTGTTTTTAACATATAGTACAATAGTACTCTAGTATTTGTTTCAAGTGTTGAAGGTAATAAGAACATGGCTCCACGTTTGCTTCACGGGACTCTTCATGCAACCATATACGAGGCTGATCGGTTACAGGGTCGATTCAACTTCGACTTATGTGGCGGCACGGTATATATATAAAAATCTATCTCGTCGACCTATTTTTTTTTTTTTTTTTTTTCAAAATATATACATGATCAGTGCAGCTCTCCTAACATTTATATATACTTTAAAAAAAATGTTCTCCTTCATTGCTAATGTTATTTGAAGGCTGGCAATCCACAAAAAAGAACAAAAAGATTTTTGTCACAGTTCAAGAGATATGTTCTCTGTCGGCCCGAGGTACATTATTCGTTTTACGTATTTTTTGCTGATTTTTTTTTATAATCATTAGTCTACATGCTATATGTATATATATGTAAAAGGTGATGGTTGTGAATTATAATAAATTGAGCAGGTTGTTGGCTCCAGAGTGTACGCCACAATCGACTTAGAACGGGCACGTGTCGGAAGAACAAGAATGATCGAAAACGAGCCTTCGAATCCACGGTGGTACGAGAATTTCCACATATACTGTGCGCACACAGTTTCCAACATAGTCTTCACCGTGAAAGACGACAATCCAATCGGAGCAATCTTGATCGGCAGGGCATACTTACCCGTGGAGGACCTCATCAGCGGCCGTGCTGTCGACCGTTGGATCGAAATCGTAGACGAAGATCGGAACCCAATCCACGGAGGCTCCAAAATCCACGTCAAACTCCAATACTTCCACGTCTTTCAAGAAAGCAACTGGTCACAGGGAATCAAAACCCCATCTTTTGGTGGTGTGCCCTACACATTCTTCAGACAGAGACAAGGCTGTAAAGTCTCCCTCTATCCAGACGCACACGTGGAGGAAGACAACATCACGCAGTTCCTCCGTTCGGAGGGCTATTACGAGCCTCAGAGATGCTGGGAGGACATGTTTGATGCCATTAAAGATGCTAAGCACTTGATCTATATAACGGGTTGGTCCATTTACACGAAGATCACGCTGATAAGGGACCCCACAAGGCCAAAACCCGACGGAGAAACGACTCTCGGAGAGCTTCTAAAGAAGAAAGCAAACGAAGGCGTGAACGTTCTTGTGCTCGTGTGGGATGACAGAACCTCAGTCAAGGAGCTGAAACGTGACGGACTTATGGCGACCCACGATCAAGAAACGAGGGACTATTTTCAGAACACGAACGTTCGTTGCGTTTTGTGCCCTAGAAATCCAGACAATGGCCATAGCATATTGCAGGGAATCGAGGTTTCGAGTATGTTCACACACCATCAGAAGACGGTTGTGGTGGACAGTGGTGGGTCCCACGGAGGAGGAGAGAAACGGAGGATAGTTAGTTTTCTTGGTGGAATCGATCTTTGCGACGGCCGTTACGACACGAGAAAGCACTCTGTTTTTCGGACACTAAACACGGTCCACAACGAGGATTTTCACCAGCCGAATTTTCCGGAATCCTCGATAAAGAAAGGCGGTCCCCGCGAGCCGTGGCATGATATCCACTGCCGCCTCGAGGGGCCCGCTGCATGGGATGTGCTGTACAATTTCGAACAACGATGGAGAAAGCAAGTGGGGAATCAGTATATATACTCAATCAATGAGCTGGACAAATTCATAGCTCAGCCAACAGAAGTCAATGTTCCTTCTTCATTAGAAGACAAAGAAATCTGGAGCGTCCAAATATTCCGATCGATCGACGGTGGAGCTGCGTTCGGGTTCCCGGATAAACCGGAGAAAGCGGCGGAATTAGGTCTAATCAGCGGCAAAGACAGTGTGATCGATCGGAGCATACAAGATGCTTACATACACGCAATTCGTAGAGCAAAAAACTTCATATACATCGAGAATCAGTATTTTATCGGAAGCTCGTTCGACTGGAAGAAGAAAACGGGGGATAATATAATAATCGAGGATATAAACGCGTTGAATCTAATACCGAAGGAGCTCTCGTTGAAGATAGTGAGCAAGATTCACGCGGGCGAGAGATTTACGGTGTATGTTGTGATTCCCATGTGGCCGGAGGGTGTACCCGAGAGCGCCTCGGTTCAGGCAATCTTGGATTGGCAGAAGAGGACAATGGAGATGATGTACACAGATATTGCTAATGCCTTGAAAGCTAAAGGAGTTGGTAATGTTGATCCTAGAGAGTACTTAACTTTCTTTTGTCTTGGCAATAGAGAAATCGAAACCCCCGGTGAATATATACCCACCGAGAAACCCGCTCCCGATACGGACTACGGCCGAGCTCAAAAGTCGAGGCGGTTCATGATTTACGTTCACTCGAAGATGATGATAGGTAAATTAAACAAACAAAAAAAAAAGTCAAGATTTTTATTACATGCATGTGTTATTTTCTTACATGTTTGTTTGTTTGTTTGTCATGCATGAATACGAAAAGTGGACGATGAATACATAATCGTTGGATCGGCGAATATAAACCAAAGATCGATGGATGGGGGAAGAGATTCGGAGATAGCGATGGGGGGGTTTCAGCCCCATCATTTGGTCAATGGGAACATGCCAGCTAAGGGTCAGATATTTGGGTTGAGAATGGCTTTGTGGTGTGAGCATCTACTTAGAGAAGATGACACGTTTCTTCGTCCGGAGAATATTGAGTGTGTAAGGAATGTTAATGCGATTGGTGATGAGAATTGGAAGTTGTACTCGAGCGAGAAGTTTGTAGAAGATCTTCCGGGGCATCTTCTTAGCTATCCGATTAGTGTGTCGAGTAGCGGTGAGATTAATGCGATTCCCGGTTTCGAGTTCTTTCCGGATACTAAAGCGAAAGTACTTGGAACTAAATCGGATTACCTTCCTCCGATTCTCACTACTTGATCAGACAGTACTGAAATAATGTAACAGTTTAATTTGTTTATAATGTAATATATGCACACTCCTACGAAACCCCGAATAAGAATCTACAGCACATTAAAACGCTATTGTTAACGATCCCCTTTATTTCGGCATTGCCACATGGGGATGAAAAATAATATATTTTCAGTAAGACGACACTAACAGATCGATTCTTTTAGCGAAGCAACGCGTAATCCCTCGTGCATGCATGGTTTTACATTCTCGATTATGGAATTAACGAGCGTTCGCTGACGTAGTTCAAATGCTCGTTAATTGCCATTTTCGATGCGCTATTAGTTGAGTGAACTAATATTTCGACTGCTTTCCTATTATAGCTCATCCCGTTCCGGATCAAACGTAACTATCCGTTTATCCATTTTAAGATTTACGAGATAACGCTCGATCTAAGTCGGGATGTGGCGTGCATTCAATGCAGTGAGAATGTCTAGTATTTTCTGCAATTCCAGTGGCTTCTTCATTTCTTCAAGATAAAAAAAAAAAACTCAAAATAACAAGAAAAAATAAATAAAAATTGAAATAACTTAATTTCAGCTATTGCATTAAAATATCCAAGATTTGGTCTGGGCAAGCAAAGCAAGCCTAGGAACTTGTATTTTAGAAGATAAAGTATAATGAAAAATTAAAAAATTCCATACATGTACAGATACATTGTATGTAAGACCTAGATTTTGGGATTTGAACAAAATCTAATCTTTTTACATTGAATACAAGAAGAGAATTTGATTCACTGCATGTGAAAGTAGACCCCACCAGTCCACCACAGCTTGGCAGTAAAAGATATGCACAACATATTATGACATACTCAACAGAATCCATCACATACTCAACAGGGTTTCTTCAATTTTCTCTTCTTGCCTTCGATTCATTTTCCTCTGATGCATTCGGTTTTTCTTGATTGATCTGAGAGGGTTTTTCGGGTTTGCTCGAACTGGAGTTGTCTTTCCGGTGGTTTTCACACCGGTTTTCCTATGTCTGAAGTCTTTGATTTCAGTGGTACGGCCTCATTCTTGATCTTTTTATGATTTTTTTTTAATTTAATTTAAATTTTCATGGTGTATGCATATAAATGTCATGTTGCAATTGCTAAAGAATTTGTGTATTGGAGCTGGGAAATTGTTTGTGATAGATAAGTATTAAGCTTCTTCATCCATTAATGATTGTCCTATGTAGTGAGTTGTTGATATGTATATTTGCTGCAGATGTTCACACCTTCTGCCCAAATTCAAAGGACTCAAATCTGTCATTTACACTTGGTAGTCGTGTGGATATGTACTTTTTGCAGCGCAAAAGATCTCGCATCAGCGCTCCGTTTATCGCCGGTAAAAAATCAAAGATGCAATCATCAATCGAAGCTCTGCCCGACGAGTGCCTCTTCGAGATTCTCAGACGCCTACCCAGAGGCCGAGAGACGAATGCTTGTGCGTGTGTATCAAAGCGCTGGCTCATGCTATTGAGTAGCATGAAGAAAGACGAAATGTGCACATCTGAAACTACTCGATTCGTGGGTCCCGAAATCCAATCCAATCCTCCCAAGCCTAAAGAGGATGATGATGTCAGCCGTGGTTATCTCTCTAGATGCTTGGAAGGGAAGAAAGCTACAGATGTCAGACTTGCTGCCATTGCTGTTGGAACTGCAAGTCGTGGAGGTTTGGGCAAACTTTCGATCCGAGGAAGTAATGAAACTCGTGGGCCCACAAACCTCGGCCTCAAAGCCATTTCCCGAGGCTGCCCTTCTTTGCGGGCTCTTTCTCTTTGGGATGTATCACCGGTTGGTGATGAAGGGTTGTGCGAAATTGCAAGTGCGTGTCATTCTCTCGAAGATATTCAATTTTTCCACTGCCCGAATATCACGGATAAAGGTTTAGTTGCTATTGCGAAGAACTGTCCTAATTTGACATCTGTTGCAGTGGAATCTTGCTTGAACATAGGCAACGAGAGTTTGCAAGCTTTGGGTAACTACTGTCCAGACCTGAAGTTCGTTTCGATCAAGAATTGCCCACTTGTCGGTGACAAGGGAATTGCGAGTCTATTTTCATCCGTTGGTCATGTCCTGACAAGAGCAAAGCTTCAGACACTCAACATCAGTGACGTGTCTCTTGCTGTCATTGGACACTACGGGACTGCAATGATTGATCTTACACTTGTCGGCCTCCAAAACGTGAGCGAGAAAGGTTTTTGGCTTATGGGCAAGGGTCATGGTTTGCGAAAGCTGAAATCTTTAACAGTTACTTCTTGTCCGGGAGTTTCCGATTTAGGGCTTGAATCGTTGGGTAAAGGCTGCCCAGATATAAAGACGCTCGCCCTCCGAAAATGTCCACGCGTATCTGACAATGGAGTAGTTTCATTCGCCAGAGCTGCCGAGTCGCTCGAAAGCCTTCGGTTAGAGGAGTGCCACGTCATCACACAGCGTGGGGTTTTCGGCATTCTTGCAAACTGTGGTAAGAAATTGAAGGCTATTGTGTTAGTCAACTGCTTGGGCAATCGAGATTTGGGGTTTCGATTCCCGTTGACTTCTCGTTGCCGTTCACTTCGATCGCTGACCATCCGAAACTGCCCTGGATTTGGGGATGCTGGCTTGGGCGGTTTGGGTAAAATCTGCCCCAATTTGACACACGTGGATCTCAGTGGCAATAAGGAAATAACCGACGCATGCATTCTACCTCTCGTCGAGAGCTCAGAGGATGGTTTGGTGGAAGTGAAGCTGAGTGGATGTGATAAACTGACAGACAACACGGTCACAGTCATTGCGAAACTTCACGGTGACACTCTCGATCTTCTGAAGCTCGATGGATGCAGGTGCGTCACAGACGCTAGCTTGATAGAAATTGCGAGCAATTGTATGGTGCTGAGTGAGCTGGATGTTTCTCGGTGTGGAATAACAGATTCCGGTATCAAAGTCTTGGCCGAGGCTGTGCAGATGAGTTTGCTGACATTTTCAATTGCCGGTTGCTCTTTGGTGTCCGACGAAAGTTTGCCTTTTCTGGTTGAGTTGGGCAAGACTATGGTGGGGTTGAACGTACAGTATTGCGGTGGGATCACATCTGGCGCCGTTGATCTACTTGTTGATCAACTTTGGAGGTGCGATATACTTTCGTGAACTTGAAAGTCGGTGAAGAATAGGAATTTACACTACATGGTAAAAGCTTCAGTTACTGGTCGTAGTTTTTTGGGTCCATGGAGTCTTTGATCATTGAGTCCACTTTTTTTTATCGGTTCCAGTTAAGGTACTGGCTTTTTTTTTTCTTCTGCTTTCTTGATCGTCAAGAAAGCAGTTGCAAGAATGTTTACATCATTCTTGTTTACACACCATTACACTTGACTGAGAATCTCTGAAGTGGGCTTTCGATCTTTAGGTCTTGAAAGAATTTATGGTCCCGAATTCGTTTAATACAGAGGTGTTGTTGAAGGTGTTATGACACTTGAACAAACATGCAGCGGAAATATAAAGACAAAAGAACAATACTCAGAATTAAAAATGTTCACAAGTAAAGACTTGTGAACTTGCCCTTTACAGGACGGAAAATATATTAAAATCAGTATTCCAAGAATACAAACAGAAGAGTGCGAAAACTTCTTCCTTATGAGTGAATCTTTTTCAAGATCACTCTTACAACCAAATCTAGATACTAAAAGAAAGATATCAAAAATTCTAGATTTCAAAGAATGTACTTATAAATAGTACGTACAACAGATCCTAGAAAACACACTAAAATTCTCGAGATTTAAACTTCAGCTCTAATTTTTGTTTTCTCGAAATCTATAATAATCTTGAGTCTTGAGTTTGGTATTTATAGACTTGCCAAGCTTCCACTCTTCAGCCCATGATCTGCAAGAAAACCAACCACAAGAGCACTCAAGATAATGGGTTAGTGGGTTAGTTTGGAAGTTAAGATAAATTCCATAATTAAATCCACTAAGCATTACTTAACCCTACTAAGCCCACTAACTAAGATTTAGTTTAGAAATTAAGAAAAGTTAAAAACACATTGTGAAATTAATTCACGTGTTTCAAACTCCCCCTTTTTAACTTTCTGATCAAAACTAAATCTTAGTCAAAGACTCCCCCTGAGATATTGCTTGAACTCCCCCTGAATTTGATACCATTTGAAAAAAACATAGAAACAATAAATTAAAACCAAACTCAGCAAGATAGTTCAACAAAAGAAATAATCAAAGTGCAGTCCTAAACAAAAGTTCAGAGGGAAAATAAACAAAACACAAGCAAACAAAATATTGTTCATGAAAACAATCTAAAGTAAAATATCCAAAGTCTCCAAGGTCTCCTCAGTTTCAGCTGCTGCTCCTCCTCCATCACTAGATCCACTGCTTTCTTCTTGAGCTTCCCCCTCTTTCTTTGTTTCCTCTTCATTGACTCCATGCTCTCTGCCTCTAGCATCCAAGGGATGAGATGTTCCTGCCTCAGTTTCATGATCTTTTTCTCCCCCTTTTTGATCAGAAAGAGCCTTCTGAATCATCTCCACCATGGACTGATGATAGGTAATCTGAGCTAGAGAATGAGTAAGCTGCTGCAATAGAAGATCTCTAGGAACAGACACAAGAAGGTTCGAAGTGTTGTCAACATGAGGTGCAACACCCTCAGTACCAATGTTATTTTGACCTGATTCAGTTGAGAGAAAATCATCTCCATTCCAGGGAAGATCTTGAACATGAGGAGCCCTCAGAAAGTTTTGAGACACAGTGATCATGCCTTGTGGGGTGTGAAGATATTCTGAGTCATCTTGGCCCAAGTTTTGAGAGAGTAAAATGGAATAGATGAGAGAAGGATAGGGGAGGTGAGTGGAGGGTGAAATTTTCTGGGCAAGATGACCAATAGTATCAAAGAACAGTTTGCCAAAATCCACTGGTAAACCCATCCCCAATTTGTACATGAGTACAGCATGAGGCTTAGTTACCACAGAGACATTTTTGGATGGAATCCAATTAGCCACTGTGAGTCTAAACAGGACAGAGTAGAAAGCAGTGAGTTGAGAGACTTGAAATTTTCTTGGGTGTGCAGGCCAATTTCTTAAACGGTTTCCAGAAATAACTTTGCAAATCTCAGTAAAATCACCATAATTATCCTCATCAATCACAGTAGGAGTTTGTAAATGAGAGTTGATAACTTTGGGAGAAAAAGAATAAATGGCATTTCGCACAAACACTTTGCCAAAGTTTGGAGAGTTTTTCTTTAAAAATGAGGTTTGCAAATTGGCATAAAACTCTTTCACAACCAAGGGATCATAAGAGCAGGCAATCTCAACTAGGTTAAGGATTTTTCTTTGGTGAAGAAAAGCTGTTATCCTATGCCTATCAAATTCTTCCTTAGAAATTTTCTTTTCCTCAATGAAATGACAATTCATGACTTGAGGACTCAACAGTGAATCAGACTCAAAATAAAAATTAGGACTAAAGGCATTTGTTACCTCAAAAGGGATTGACAAGTTCTTCCCATCCAGGTCTGGTTCTTCTTCTTCTGAGGAATCATCATCTTCTGAATCTTCAAGCTCATCAGGGACATATGCTGGTTCAGGTGATGCAGCACGTGGGGCAACACCTTCTTCCTGCTGAGAAGAGTCTTCAGAGGATTCACTGTCGGAATCAGAAGAGGACAAGTTTTTGCGAAAAGTAGCTAGTGGAACCTCCCAACTGTCTTCACTTTTCTCTGATTCTTCAGCTTGAGGAGGAATTGTATCTGCTTGAGCTGCTGCTTCTGCCAGGGTTTCCAGAGGATCTCCCTGAGGTGCTGATGGAGTTTCTTCTGTAGTGGTGAACTCCTGAGCATCGACAAATGGAATGTCTACATGCTCTGCTGATGACATTCCAGAGAAATCAGGCATTTCTTCATCCTGATAAAGGGCAGCATCCTCAGCAGCATTTTGAGGAACATTTGCTGAAACAGTAGGTGCAGCAGCATCTTCTGGAGCATGTGCAGCAACACCTTCAGAGTCAGGTGCAGCAACACCTTCTGAACCAGGTGCAGCAACACCTTCTGAAACAGGTGCAGCAACACCTTCAGGAACAGATTGTTGAGAGGCTGCTGTTGCCATGCTGGGCTGCGACGTCTCCCCCTGAGTTGATGCTGGGGAAGGTGAGTTGTTGGATGAAGACTCAGAGGAGCTGGAGGACAAGGCTTGAGCCTGTGGTGCAGCAAAGGTAGGATCCCCTGCTTCGTCATCAGTTTCTTCATCTACCAGATGAAGACCTCTTCGTGGGTTTGACGGGACTGGAGTGCGGCCACCTCTGCTTCCTCTTCTTCCACCTCTGCTTCCTCTTCGGGGAGAGTTTTCTCCTCTTCGGCGTTGAGGCACCGCAGTGTTCAGATCTGGAAAAGGGTTCGTGCGCTTTGACCGGCGCGTTGGAAATCTTCCGGCGGTGGAAGAGGGACCCACAAAATCAAAGTTGTCTGGGTCAATCGGGTTCAGCTCGTCGCCGGGCTCAATGTAGCTGATAGGAACAGCTTCAAAGTTGATTGGATGAACGATGATGGCCAGATTTGGGTCTGCTGGTACAGGTGCTGCAGCATCGTTGTGGACATCACCATCGACGGCTGGAGGAGGATTTCTAGGTGGGGATGCCATGATACAGTAGATAAAGTGAAATTGCTTCTTTGTGCTTTTGATTTTTGAGTGTGAATTTTGTGAGAAGAAGCACGAAATTTATAAGCCCTAATTTTTGCTGAAGAAGAAAGAAAAAATTGAAGTGGAGAAGGTGAAGAAGTGGTGTCCGTTTTTCTTGGGGAGAGTGTGATTAAGGAGAATAAAATTTCCTTGGCAGTTTAAAATAAAAACGTGACACATGGCACAATAAGGAGTGGACTTAGTGGAAAATAAGGAATTAACCCATGTACCCATGACCCATATAAATAGGGATAATTAAAATGACAAAAGAAAAATCAATAAAGCCGTAGCACTCAAGAAATATTCACAAATAATAGAAAAATACATTTATTAATGATTAATAGTGAGAAAAATTTGCTGACAGGCATAGATACTATTATCTGTATATTTATATATCTATATATATATATATATATATATATATATATATATATATATATATATATTTTTTTTTTTTTTTTATAATAACATATATATATATAAACTCTTATTTTCAAGTCAAACAATTCACATGGAACATGATCAAGTGTTCAGTTTGAAGGTTTCTCAGTTACTAAGATATGACTATCAAAATAGAGGAGTTTTGACTTATGTGAGTGTAATTATTTGTCTAAATGTTTACATGAAGCATGATCACGTTTCAAGGTGAAAGACTTCCAGTTACTGATTTAGAAAATAATACATCACAGTTAAGTCATTATTTAATGAAGCTAATGCTTCAGTAAATTGTGTTGCAGCTTAAGATATTTGATGAGGTGCTGCAACACGTTTCAGGACATGTTTATTGAGTACACATCCCGAGAGATTTTCTGAGTTTTGAAAACCTCTCATAATCTAATGCCTTTGTAAAGATGTCAGCCAGCTGATCTTCTGTAGGAATGTACTTTAAGCACACTATATTTTTCTCAACTATATCACGAATAAAATGATGTTTAATATCTATGTGTTTAGTTCGTGAGTGTTGAACGGGATTTTTTGAAATGTCAATAGCACTTGAATTATCACAATATATGGTCAGGGTATCACTGGTTAACCCATAATCTCCCAACATTTGTTTCATCCAAATTAGTTGACCACAACACCCTCCAGCAGCTACATATTCTGATTCAGCTGTTGAAAGAGATACACAGTTTTGCTTTCTACTAAACCAAGAAACTAGATTATTCCCCAAAAAGAAACATGCACCTGATGTGCTTTTTCTGTCACTAATATCCCCAGCCCAATCAGAATCACTAAAGCCTATCAGGTTTGTATTTGTGTCTTTGAAAAACTGAATCCCTAAGTCTACTGTACCTGCAACATACCTAATAATCCTCTTCACAGCTTTAAGATGAGTGACCTTGGGATTAGCTTGATATCTGGCACACACACAAACACTAAACATAATGTCAGGCCTGCTTGCTGTTAGATACAGAAGGCTTCCAATCATGCTTCTGTAGAGAGTGCTGTCGACATCTTCTGCAACATCATCCTTAGACAGTTTTTGGCTGGAACCCATTGGAGTTTTCATGTGCTTGGCTGATTCCAACTCAAACCTTTTGACCAGGTTGAGAGCATACTTCTTCTGATTTACAAAC